CTATCATTTCGGTCTATGAGAAAATCATTAGCATTATCCCAAATTCATTCGAGTGACCCAAAATTTCGTATTTGTTTGATTTCACAGAAATATTTGTATCTATATTTGTATTTGTTTTATAATAATGTAGGTACTTTATTTTTATTTATTTGTAGGATTAAAACCTTGCAAGCGAAAGAAAAAAGGTTTAACAAAAATCACTCCAAAAGTGCTATTTTAATTTCTTCAATGAAATCGACCTATACGCGGTCTGTCAGTCACTGCTAGAGATGGGTTTTTACCCGATGAATATCCGTCAAAAGATAAATATCCGATTTCACTGAGTATTTATCCTAAAATATAGATAATTATTTTTTGTTTTTTATAATAAAATTCATTAGAATTAGTTTTTTATTAAATGATTACGTACGATTACTTCTCATTTTGCCATTGTTTTATGTAACAATACTGTTTCAGTACCTACGTTTTTCGAGTCGATAACATCTCACTAATGGTAGGAATGTAAACCAATTGCAACATACTCACCTAAACTTTTATCAACAAAAAACTTCGCTGGTATAGAAAATTCGATTGACAGAAAGTTATCAAATTAACTGTAACCCTTGAGCTAACATATACTGCGTTAATAAAGTGCGACCCAACTTTATGGTCTTGGGGTCTACTGCGTACGTATCAATGTTTACAATTAAGCTTAAAAATATACTTTGTTTTACTAAATATAAATAATAAACCACGATTTAAAATATTTATCTACATTTTTGGATAAATACTGAGTGAAAATGGATATTTATCCCAATTATATTTATCCATGACCCATCTCTATCACTGCTATTTATTACACGGTGTTTTCGATTTAACACACTCTACTCACTCCAAAGGGCTACTAACTCAATAAATATTTTATATAAAACGATTAAAACTAGTATTCTACAATAACATGATGTCTATGTTCTGCAGTAGACGTCATCTACAGTCTAACATTAAAATGAAATTTTAATTAATCATAATCAAATAATATAGACGAGAACGACAACTTTAAATTCTATTTAGCAAAAGTTGAGGGAGACCTAGCACGAGAAGACATGGGTCAGTGAGTAAACATCAATTGTCTGCAACAAATTAAACCTTTACAACCCACCTACGCAAGTAATTCCCTTCCGTTCTGTGGCTCCCTCGCCATGATCCACTAATAGATTAAGATGTTTACATAACACTTCAAGGTATCTACTAAACATGAAAAACTTTTATAATGGAGATCTGGGGATCTACTCACATTCTCCGTCCAACATTCGTCCGACATAATTACTGTTAAATAATTTACCCAACCAAATTAAAAGCCACTGTAAAGTATGAAGTTTCATTCGCATCATGCGTCTTTTAATTTGATCACGTATTACTTATTTGACAGTAATTGTTTCGGACGGACGACAGACGGAAGACGAGAGTACAGGACCAGTCGCGAATGAACAAGGTTCCATAGTCCTAATTTATTAATATAAATTAATAAAAATAATCAAGTTTTGTGCATTCAATAAGTTTTATAAGTACCGGAAGACTACGCGACGCCTTCAAAGCTTCCTAAGAATTAATTTTCAGACAATCATGTAATGTAAATAATACATAGTCCCTGATAAATGTTCAGAAATAACATTTTTTCAGAAATTGCTTTATTTCTGGTTTAATAAGATCCATCTTCGCGCAAAATTTCCTAGCAATATGTACTTACTGTACATAGACTCGAAAGTTATAGGGGTGCCAAACACGCGCAGACGAATGGACATATAAATAGGAGTAAAGTATCTACCTTGTTTGACTTTGGAATCTTAAAAGTGACGACCAATATCGTTGATAACTAAATTGTCTTTAAAAGCATATTGTGTTGTACCCTCTACTGAAATATTTGTAAAAAGGAAACATTAGGTACCTAAAGAAATCAATCCAACATAATATATCTTCCGCCTTGTGAAAATTAAATTTTCAATAGGCGTTTATTTCAAGTCAGGAAATGCTAACCTCATACAGTTTAGGGTACTAAGTACATAATTTTACTACATCGTAGTTTCATTACGCGTGGACTAAAAAGCAACGGGACCTCAATGTACTATGATCTAAACATTTCGACTCCACATTTTTATGACAGTCACTGGGCTCAGTTCAAATCTGCAGTGTCTCCAGTGACGCCACGGCAGAGCATCTGTATTCCGTATAGTAAAAATATTTTGGAGCGTAATCGTACAGTTCCGTGACGACGCGACGCGTTAATATCCAGTACGCTCTAGTACATTTCTATAGCGCAAAATACACACCAACGCTTTATTGTAGCGTCATTAAAGCGGCGCCAATGTCGATGGAGACGCTGTGCGCGGAACTTTACTTTTAAAATCGTAGATACACTCAAAGTTCTGCAAGGTCGAGCTAATTCTGGCTGATTCATTTAGTAAAAAAAAACTCAGGTTCGAACAGAGCCCATTCTTTGAAAGAATGAATTTGAAATCCTGAGAAGGAACTAGGTTATTTATTTTGTAACATATTCTATGTTGTATAAGATATTCTGAAAGAGCTATGGAATATTAAAACTAGCGATCCTGTCTGGCACCACAATGTCGCACCTCTGCTGTCTCGAGTCGACATTTCATACTCGATCGTTTCATATCGCTCCTCAATAAAATTCATAAAACTGTAAACAATTTATACACAATCATAAGGCAATTTCGTGTTAAACAAAAAAGTAACTAAACGTTTCTAATGCTTGAACTACGATGATGAACGTTTTTTGTCAAATCTGTGTTAAATATTATAGATACTAGATCCGAATGATATGCACAAAATGTTTCCTCGTGTATGGTTGTTAATTTTTTTATGTTACTTCATACTTATTATTCTTAGTATCAGAAATAATACTAGATTGAAGCAGAGTGCAATGCTTTATTGGAGGCCGCGTATAGTCAAATGCACTGTGCCTGGATTGTACAAGACTTATAACACTCCCAATCAAAGCAATCAAAGAGAGATGGTCGGAATTCTAAATTTAAAATGCGAAGACTTAGACGTGTGTTATCCGGCAGAGAAATACGATAAAATAACGATAAAGGAATCTTCACTCAACTCTAACCAGGCTATTATTGTGACGCATGACTAGTAAATATGGGTCTGCGACAGTTGCACAATATCAATAATACTAATTTACTGTAAACCAAAACCAAAATTGGTGCCAAAAGCTATAACCATTTACTGCGTCATAATATTATATGTAAGCAGTTAGCGTAACTTTTTCTTGTCAAACATGTTCTGAATTGTTCATTAATTATACAAATTGTTTTCGGAAAATTTCCTTGAATGTATCATTCACTTCCGCGCGCACGAAAATGGAGTAGAGTAGTGCACTGAAAATAGAGCAGAGTAGCGCAGTGAAGTTTACCTCGGTAGATCCGATCTGTGAAGGTGTGGAACATTGAAACTAAATTTGTACGGCACAAAATGAGTGGTATTTTGTCCCATTCACCCCCAGTTCTACCAATATGAATTTTTTCTAATCGTAACTATAAAAAGCATAAGGACACCAAATGAATTTTAGTGACAAAATTCCTTTGCTTCACTGAAAATTTTCGAGGCTAAGTGTCAAACCTCCTTTTGAAGAGAATAAAGAAGAATTTCGACTTTCCAGTGAATTTGCTACACAGCTCAACACTCGGTTTTTCGGTGATATCCGAAAAAGTCTTAGACAATAATGAATGATGTTACTACAACAATTAGTAATGTGAACGATTTTATTCGTGAAAATTTAGGGTAAAACTCGTTCCGTAAAGAGTGTTACTTCATACTCTACTGACGTTTATACTATTCTCTACAAGCAATGGTTTTTTCGAGCCTTTACGCAGCGCAGTGTGTCACAATGGTATACCCACTAATAGACGTGTACAACAAAGCAAGGGTGAGACAACAAAACATCTGCTAAACGGAGGGTACTCTATATCAAAACCCAGATCCTACTCAGGAGAAATATGGCAACGTCGCTTTTACTATAATTTTATTTTTATTTATTCTTTGGGTAAGCTAAGTTTATTTGTATAAATTTTAGTTGAGGACAAAACCTAGTCACCTACGAATTCTCAAAACATTTATGAATGTCATTATTTTGGGTTGCATACCATGCATGAATAACTGTCTTGATACGAATATTGTTTATACAACACAGCAAACAATATGTAAACATGTTATAGATTAACAAATGCATAAAAACGATTTCATATCATCATCGATTCTTTTAAGAAAAATAATGATCTCTAAACACTACTTTAACAGTAGGCATGGCATAACTTGTTCGTATGCGTATCTGAAACTCAATGTACACATATAACAAATTCTTGCTTTTCAATATTTATGACTGTTTGAAACACGCCCGTGCAGCTTTGCTTGCCTACGAATGCTTACGATCATTACACCTACGCCAGTATCAACCCACATATTTTGTCACAAAACAAGCTTGGTGGAAAGCAGCTCGGTGGAGACTCGATCTTGCGATGTTGCATTGCAACACGCCGCTATTGACGTGCCGGTTCGCCCGGCGAAGTGGTAGACATGAGAATATCTCTGCGTAGATATGATAGCCTAGAGTAAGTATCTACTTATACGGAATATTCACGAACCGGCGAGACAATCAATTAGTATTTTAGGCTTGAATATAGTGTAATTGTGTAAAGTTGGATTTAAGGACTTCGGATGCATTTCTTAGCAATTAGTAGGTGGATACCGCTAGATAAGTAAAGAACACCACTGTTACACAACATTTTAAGTTTACAGTAAACAAAAACACAAAATTTGCAAACAAGAATAATGTAAACAAAACAGCAAAAATAGAAGCAACGTAAAAAGAATCACGTTTGTTGGCCTGGGATGTTGAATTAAGATTTTCCTGTCATTCTAAGGTTCTGGAGCAAGATATAAACTTGAATCTGAAAATAAATAAAGTCAAAAGTATAATATAAACAAAAGGTAGTTACCGTTTGAAGTGCTCCCTTATTCGATCTTCACGAATGTTATCGGGTAAATTTCCAACCCACAGATGCCGAGTCTCTCTAACCATCTTGCTTCGAACTCCACATTAGGAATCATTACCCGTTCGCGTCACTACGTGGCAAAAATCAATTTTGCACTCGACGGTGCTTTACACATTTTTATTATTCACTTAAATACACATTAGAAAATGTTTTAACCACATCAGTTTCACCTCTTGGTATAACAACACTATCTTTCACTTCACGATATTCGATAATCTCATCACAAAATCCACTCCTCACTATAAACACACCACGTAATAGACGCGAGCGTACTCTTCGCAGCTCTCGAATTGACAGTGAAGCCAGCTTGGACGCGAGTTTGCCGATAAGCTCCGCCTTCTGACCGCTGCCGCGCAAAGTGGAGTAGGGTGCCCAACAAAAATATACCCCAACTCAAATACACATCAATGACTTGTTATAGAAAACACTACTCAAATCCTAATATATTATAACTTCCTAAAGTTTATCTGGTCACTGAAAGAATAGACGATGTTTAACAATTATTAATTCCTATTTATGTTCCGGTCATGATCGAATAATGGATGTTTGGCGATTATTGACGAAGAAATTACTTTCAAAATAACTAAAAATATGTAAATTTTAGTAATTCTAGAAAGAAAACATTAAAATTTAATGAGAAAAAGGTGAAATAAAATATGACGAATGCCGCAAAATAGCGCTCCGCTGGCCAGCGTACCCTAAGAATAGCCTTTCTCTTTCTATATTTGTATATCTATCTCTCTCGCACTTACAGTCCTAAGAACGCGGTGTTGACGCTCTAAAAATAATCCGGCTTTTTAGGGAAATCATCAACATATTTTTTTACTTCTATATTTTATTTTTAATTTATTTATTCCTAGATTTATTCCATCGTAAATGAAACTATATACCCACGTACACTTTATATGCGCATGTTATATACACCTATGTAGTTTGATTCATGAAAATTCTTTTAACTTTAATACTAAGGGTCGTATTCCAGAACTCTACTCAATGCTCAAGTCAGGACTTGAGTATGATTTAAAGCACTAGAAATCATACTCAAGTCCTTGCCATTAGGGTCGTATTTCCAGTGCTTGAAATCATACTCAAGTCTGCTCAAGTCCTGACTTGAGCATTGAGTAGAGTTCTAGAATACGATCCTAAGAGATGCTTTTGATGGGTGATGTTTGATGTCAAACGGAGTATTTTAAATGGCTTTATGACGTATGCGTTTTCAGAATTTCCTTTTTCATAATGAAATATACTAAAATGACATGATAATTAGGCAATCAGGTGCCTCCCACACACTTGGTGTGTGATCGGATTTAATTTAAAATAATTATTCAAGAATAATCAGAAAGACGTTCATTAAAAGGCACCGAAGTTATATTGTTGAGATGCGGTAGGTGGGGCGATGGCCGTTTTCTTGGTTGTAAAAAACGTCAAAAGAGCTGTCAGTTACTTTGGCTAATAAATATTAACAATATCACATAGATGCTACCGCTGTAACTATACTTATCGTGGAATTACATCTATTTGCCAAGTTTTATTGAAATCGGTTACCGGAAAATGCACGAAACCGAATTCGCCCCTAGTTTGCCACCCTTAGATTTCGAATATTTTCTTCAAATTTAAGTGGGACCAATAACGAGGTACCCTCTTTCCAACAAAAAAAAAAAGAATCATCCAAATCCATCCAAAAAAATTGTCATATATATTTCTAGTAATTCTGTCTTTTGTGCTTACCGTAAAGTTCACGTTAATGGAGGGACGATGTTTACGAATTTAGCCGACCGGCGACGATATGAATGTCTTCAGCCGCCATTATAAGCGCTGCAGCCGCGTGGCGGCGTGGCCGCGCGACTGTCAATTTTTTAGTGATGTTTTATCTTTCTACTCAGTTACGCCAGAGAACAAAAAAGTAAGAGAATGGAGACTCTCCGCCCCTCCCTAGATTTAGATACCGCACCACTCCCCGCACATTGACGGGCACATTGTTGACTGACCAACAACAAGGCTGTCGGCGAGTCATTTTCGCGTCAAGACGGCTTTGACATTTGAATATTCTTCATTTATTAATCACATCATTGTATGTTACTATTTGTAATGGTGGGGAATTGTGCTGTGTACTACTGTTTATTATCATATAATAAGCATTGAGTAGAGTTCTGGAATACGACCCCTAGTTTCGTATTCCAGAACTCTACTCAAGTTTGCTCAAGTCAGGATTGCACTGGAAATACGACTCTAATGACAGGGACTTGAGTATGATTTCGAGTGCTTTAAACCATACTCAAATCCTGACTTGAGCATTGAGTAGAGTTCTAGAATACGACCCTTAGACTCATTCAGTTATTGTTTACTTCGTTCATTTGGTGCAAAGTAATATATAATACAGATTTGTTATATCAATATAATGATACACCATAACTTCGTGAGATAGTAGACAAAGGATCTCGAATATTCAATTTGTATTGTCGATAAATATTACGTAGTGAATATACCTAATTATTAACTAGGTAATGATAAACTTGGACACGCAATTTCAAACACCTTGGTTACCTTATAAAAAAACCTGTCCAAAATACAATACACCCAATACTCCATCAGTATTTTAAAATATTGCCTTTTCGTTCCTAAATTTACATACCTACGTATGTACTTCGCAGCTGTCCGGCTTGGAAATTCCATAATCAGCTCAGCTGATTGCCAATAGATTAGATGATGTCAATAGATTATGACCTAAAAGCTCTTCTTCAATCCATTCTAAACGTCCATCTCACCCACAATGCCTGGACCCAAGCTATCCTCCCCATCAGACATGGTTGTCTAGGCATCAGGAGTAAATCAGCTATAGCCCTTCCAGCCTTTTTGTTCTCAATCTACAGCACGATCAACCTCGTAGGCAGTAGCTGGGGTAATATTCTGTGCAAAAAGACTTTAAATGACTTAATGAATCATTGCACCCCAATAGTCCGAACGCGTCTGGAAGCGGCGTCCAGGCGGGAATTTGGCCACTGGCTACACGCTTTCCCCTCTGCCAATACCGGTACCTTCCTGAGCGCGCAGACCATTCGCATAGCTGAAGGCCTCCGCCTTGGTGTCCCAGTTTGCTCCTTTCATCCATGTCCTTGTGGCAAAGACGTAAGTGCTCTGGGTCACCACGGTCTATCCTGCCAGTTGAGCGCCGGTCGTATCTCCCGGCACGCAGCCCTCAACGACATCATCCACCTGGCCTTAGCCACTGTTAACGTGCCCGTTATTCTCGAGCCAAGCGGCATGTCGCGAACAAATGGCAAACGCCCGGACGGAATGACTCTCATCCCTTGGAGTATGGGCCGGACACTGGTGTGGGACGCCACATGTGCCAACACATTTGCCCCATCCTATCTCCAGCACACCAGCAAGAGGGCTGGCTCCGCAGCTGAGCTGGCGGAGAGAATAAAAAGTAATAAGTACCAGGATCTCGGCTCCGACTACGTATTACCTATTTACAGCCTTTGGAGTCGAAACCCTTGGCCCGTGGGGTCCCAGTGCACTTCATCTGTACAAAATCTTATCGAAAAAATTAATTGCCTGTCTGGGAAACTCAAGGGCTACCTTGCCCAACGCATTAGCATAGCAATACAAAGGAGGAACGCTGCCAGCATCTTGGGCACCTTGTCGCGGGGACCCAATTTTATTCATATAATTTAAAAATCCTAGTTTTACTTTCTAATACTTAAGCTTTTATTGTCTTTTTTACCTTACCTGTATATTATCTTAATTAAATCTTTTAGGTGCTGTTAATATATTTTTTTAAATAAATCTTCAATATTATTCTAAATAGTGAATTAATAAAAAATAAAATATTATTTCGATATAAATACCTATTGAATATGTGTAATTCTTAAGATTCTTTTAATAGAATTAAAGATAACAGATTCGCTTTGTTGTCGCTCTGACCACGTAACGTAAATTGTACGAGAAAGTGATGAGTGACCCTGTTGCTTCACGCACACATTTGCGCGTGTGTAGATAGCACCTTGCTGTATGTAGTAGTAGTAGTACAGTAGGTACATAACTTTCGACTGTTGTATGGAGTGTCCGGAGCGTGGTCTAAAGACTGTACGTATGCTGTCGTTGGCGTCGCTGTGTGTTTGCGTTTGTAAGTAAGGGCTCTCCTTCACCGAGAACATTCGCCATTAATGTAACATTCAAGATTCGATTCGATTTTGCGAGCATTACATTACAAAACTACTCCCACACCGGCGAGCATTCGCCTGCGAACATTCGTTTTTGAGCATTACATTGCAATCTACCTCCTTCACCGGCGAGCATTCGCCTGTAATGTAACATCCAAATGAGGAGACGTGAGAGGTAGCAAGGCGTGTGTGCGAGTGCCTCTGAGAGCCCGGAATTGCCCGTGAGTGCCTTTGAGTGCCCGCGAGTGCCTTTGAGTACCGCGAGAGCCAGAAGTGCTTGCAAGTGCCTTTGAGTGACCTTGAGTGCCTTTGGGAGCGTTTAGTGTCTTGAGTGCCTTTGAGAGCCTCAAATGCACTAAAAGGCACTCAAAAGCACTCGCGAGCACTATAAGTCATTCAAGACCCTCAAAGGCACTCATATGTACTAAAAGGCACTCGCGGGCACTAAAAGGCACTAAAGACCCTTAAATGCACTAAAATTCACTAAAAGGCACTGAAAGGCATTCAAAGGCACTAAAATACTCGCTGGCACTCAAACCTACTCAAAGGCAATCAACGTCACTCAAAGGCATTCGCGGGCACGCAAACGCACTCAAAGCCATTCAAACGCACTCAAAGGCAATCAAAGGCACTCAAGGGCACTCAAAGGTACTCAAAAGCACTCAAAAGGACTTGAAAATCTGGTGGAGTCGCAGCATTACTGTCTGAAAAAACAAATTGTTACATTACAGAGGCGAATGCTCCCGGTGAAGGAGGTTCCCGAATGTTACAAGCGTTGCGCAGCGAATGCTAGTCTCATCTCCCTCACCGCCTGTAATGCTCGCTTTTGAACGTTACATTACAAGAGCATGTTCGCGGTGACGGAGCGCCCTAATAATTACTAGACGTTTCACGACTTTAATTATTGCTTATTATAAGACTTGTATTTCTTGAATCGAACGTTTTTTTATTAATATACATTCAGTCAAAAAAGTATCGGTAATGGATGATTTGTTTATGGTTTCAAATTCAATTTTTGTGTTATTTTTGTTGTTAGATTGGCACAACTGTTTTCCATTTTGGCGCGGAGTTTGAGTTGCATCTGTTATTTAAATTAAATACAGTGCTGTTTTTAATTAGATCATAATTAATGTGTATTGCGAATTTCATAATGAACAAAAACATCGAACAAAGACTTTCTTAGATTTTGCTTCGCCAATGGAATTTCGTGTTCGGAGTCACTGAAAATGTTACAGAAGGCTTACGGTGAATCGACTTTATCAAGAACACGTGCTTATGAGTGGTACAAAGCGTTCAAAAGCGGTCAAAATGATCACATCTCGATAGAAGATTTGCCTCGCTCTGGTGGACCATCAACGTCTTCAACTGAAGTTAACATCGAAAAAGTGAAGTAAATAGTGACTGTAAATCCTCATTCAAGTTTGAGAGAAATAGCCGCTGAACTTTCGGTGTCTCACGAGTCGATCGATCCGTACCATTTTAAATAATAATTTGGGAATGAAACATGTTGCCTCTCGGCTAGTCTCATAAGACCTAAATTTTCTCCAAAAACTCAATCGCATAAGAGTCGCTGAGAACATTCTAGAACGAGTCAACTCCGACTCAACATTCATGAAACGCATTGTTACATTGGTGGGTTTACGAGTTTGACATGCAAACTAGTCAACAAACTTCGGAGTGGTACCTTCCAACTGAACCGAAACCGAAAAAAACCTTCCTTTCCATCCTCTAAGAAAAAACCACGCCAAAGTCGATCAAAAGTCAAAGTCATGTTGACCGTTTTCTTTGACTATCGCGGTGTTGTGCACTTCGAATTCTTGCCGGAATGTCAAACGGTAAATAAAGAATATTATTCGAGCGTTATGTGGCGTTTAAGAGAGCAAATTCGACGAAAAAGGCCAGATTTGTTGAAAGTAAATTCATGGATTTTGCATCACGATAATGCGCCTTCGCACAAGGCCATCGCCGTGAACGAATTTTTGACCAAAAACTCAACAAATACCACCGAATAACCTTAACCTTACACTTCTTCCAGTTTTATTATTATATAATAAATTGTTATATAAAAAAGAAGCAATCATCCACTTAGAGGCACTTTGCACGCGCGCCACTTTGGCTGGTTTCGGCTCATCTCGATAGACCCATACGCTGGAATGCTGCTTTGTTTTGGGATCGTAACTATAAATCCATGTTTCGTCACCGGTTAATATGTCCCACACCAAATTTGATGCCCCTTCGTTGAATCTGGCAAGCATTGCACCAAGAGAAATGTGCTGTCATTGGGCACTATACCACCGAAAGAGAAGGCAGCACTTCTGCTCAAAATGGTTCCAGTCACTGTAACGGGACCACTGGGAAGTGTGGAGACATACGCACTGATGGATGAGGGCGCCACAACAACCCTCATCGATGAGGGCTGGCACGGCGCATCGGAGCGGAAGGACCCCCAACACCGTTGCGCCTGTACGGAGTGAACATGACACGACAAGAACATCAGAGCCGAACCGTCAGCCTACTGTTGCAAGGAACAACGCAGGACAAGGCGATGAAGATCCGATCCCGTACGGTGTGTGACCTGAAGTTGCACCAGCAGTCCATACCGAGCTCGCTGCTGAAGGCAAATCATCTACGGGACATACGGGAAGAAGTGTGCTACGATCTGGCACTGCCGCTCCTTCGGATTGGCAGCGACAACTGGGAGCTGATAGTAACTCGCGAACTATGAGTCGGCAGACGCAACTAACTATATCTATATATATATATAATCTACCACACTTTGCCGTGTAGAACCCGAACAAGCCCGGAAAGCAGCGACTCGTGTTCGACGCGGCGCACAATAACTGGGGTGTGAGCCTGAACGAACAGCTGCTGGAAGGCCCGGACCTACTGCTATCATTGCATCCTCTTCCGATTCCGTGAGAAGCCGATCGCCGTCACCGCTGATATCCAAGAGATATTCCTGCAGGTGAAGATCCGACCGGATGATCAACCGGCATAGCAGTTCCTGTGGAGAGGGGGGAACATGGAGAACAAAATCCCGGGACTCTACTGGAACCCGCAAACAGATGAACTCGGTTTCGACACACCCATGAACCGGGTCCCAGCCGAAGTGCGCAACCAGAGCCGCGCACCCACCAAGAGGTAAACACTCAGTGCGATCATGTCGATCTATGATCCGCTGGGGCTGTAAAGCCACTACCTACACGATCAGAGCGACGATCATGCTTCAAAACCTATGGCGACGCGAACTGCCATGGGACTGCCGATCCCTGCGGAAGAAGCCGAACTCTTCACATCCTGGCTGCGACAACTGAACGAAATCGCACGCCTACGCCTGCACCGGAACTACGTCCTGGAGAACCATGAGCACACTGAACTACATGTGTTCTGCGACGCGAGCGAACCAGTCTACGCTACTGTGGCCTACTGGAGAGTTGTATACCAAGATGGTAGCGTGAAAGTGACCCTAGTTGAAGAAAAGCCTAAGGTGGCACCGCGGCTCACGCAAAACATCCCGCGCCTTGAACTACAGGCTACACTCATCGGAAGAAGAAGAAACATTTAACAACAAGTACGAGATTTAAAATGATTGCGAAAAATACTACAACAACCATACCACCACACCGCTTGTTAATGGCTCCATCGTTTTCGTTCAGTAACTTTAACTTTGGATAGGTGTCAACGTCAAATGTGGAAAAATCTTGGAAAAATACAGAAAAAATATCAGGGAAATATTTATTTTTCTGAAAAATATGATTTTATCAAAATCAAAATTTTTCCATGACCCAACACTAACGCAGATAATTAAACGAAAATATGACTCACAGTACTTATAAGACAAACTGTTAATAAAAAAAAATTAAAAAATTAAAATGTCAAAATATAGGTAATCGAAAAGGGATTCGCTCTGGACCTTTTGGAAGGAAAAGTGTCGTTTTTAGGAAATGAAATTATTTTTCCGGATTTAAATCGCGTATATTTGATTTTACGCGTAAATCGATTACGCGATTTAAATCCGGAAAAATAGTTGCATTTCCTATGTGTAACAATCGCGAAAACCTAAGAACTCGATAGTGTCGTTTTTATTTTGACTTTCAATTATTTTGTGAAATCTAGTTTAAAGTGGAATAGGATAGTGCTATTGTGCCTTAATCGAAGATTAAAACGCGAAATTATACGAATCCCGAACTAAAATACCCGTATCGGCCCGTTCTAAGGAATCCCGAGTCAATCCAATCACGCCCGCCGCTCAAATTGCCTATCCTCTTTGCGGCCATATTTACAGAAACATAATTCAACTTCATGTACCAAAAAAGAATAATGTACCAAGACTTGGCTGTATGGTGTAAAACCTTTGCCTTTTCCTTTATGGAAAGAAGAAGAAAAAAAAGTAATCGAAAAGGATTTTCTTTTCTACTTGTCTACAGTTATCTGTGAAAGGATTTGTTTTCGCAATCTATTGTTGATTTTTTATTCTACTCCTTTTTAAAATCTCTGGCTATTTACTATAGTTTGAAATGTTTCACAAATCAAGACGATTACTCAAGATTGGGACAAACTATTGTGTAAGGAGGAAACAATTTTATGCGACGCAAAAACCTGAGACATCGTCGTCTCACGATGGTATCGTTCTTAGCGATAGTTGTGTGCAAAGATTGAAACAACTTTGTGCGAACAGTAATACTTTCTTACGGCTATGTGTGGAAAGCGGAGGATGTTCTGGTTTTCAGTACAAATTTGATGTAGACGAAAAATTATCAGACGATGATAGGTTAGTATGTTATTTTTGCTTTAATTTTTTTTTTAATTTATACTTAAAATTTTTCTCATAATAAAAATGAATTGGAATTTAAATCTTTAGGTGTATTTTACCTGCACTTGTACGGAATTAATGGCTAATAAATTTAATCTACTGTAATGTAATGTTATCTTGAAAGACTACTTATTTGTGGTTACTGAGACTTAACAATATGGTGACATGATAGAGATTTTCTTTTTATATATATATCTTTTTTATATTTATATATATATAGACCCAGACACCAGCTGGATTGTATTCTTAACACAAGCCTTTCTTTGTTCCTCGGATTGCACAGTAGTATACTTTGGTATCTAACATTTAAAAATGTGTATTCGCATCTTATGGGTGAAAGTAAGTTCATGCAAGTCCACACAGTTATTTATTGGTCCAAATTTAGAATAGCTAATGTCGAGTTGGATATTGATACAATATTTGGAGATAGACCTAGTCAGAAGGAAGCTTTACTCTAATTTTATGGAAAAGAGAAAACAAATAAAAAACACTTTTGTTTCACTGGAATTTTTTTTACTGTTATTTTTTCCGGCAATCAGCCTATAAACAGATGGGTTGTGGTATCACATTGGAAAGGGTGCTACTCCCAGTGTAGCTCAACCGTACAGATTGTTTAGTCAGCTATTTTAGTGACCATCATGGTCAAGAATGTCATGCTTTCTTTTTTAGTCATTGTATACTTTCAGGCATGGTGAGCTGCTTGGCTAGTTGATTTGGGTGATGTTGTAACTGGGTTCTGTATATATCACAATAGGAGGGTATTTCTTCTTTAACATTGGGCATGTCAAGAAATTAGTGGATCTCCACTGTTTTTATGGTACATTTGATATTTGACAGAGTATATTGTTCTGCACGCTTTGAATAACTAGTAGCTCCCCAGAGTTGTATGCCAAATTGGCTTTAGAAATGTTTTATAAATTAGCAGTTTGTTGTCAATAGCCAGTTTCGAATTTCTTCCAATCAGCCAGTGGAGCCTTTAAATTTCAAATTGATCTCATCTCTTTTGGTTTGGATGTGTTGTGTGGGCTATTTATATGTCCAAATTTTCATGAACTAAAGTCAAATTCGATAGTCGCACCTAAACTCGCTTTTAGGTTTTTGTTCATATATGAATTAAATAAAAATTGTGTAGTATTTATTAATTAATGATGAGTTAAGCAAGATACAATGTCTCCACTTTTGAGGGAAATGTTTCCATGGCATCATTATTTGTATATTTGTGTGCGTGCCGACGAGCATAAATACAAGTTGCTTACGCCTACATGAATTTGATTTTTGCCTCACTTGTGAAAGCACTTCGTTTGATATGAAACTATCATTATATGCGTTATTATTCTAAGGTGCACGGTATGTTGTTACTTTTAATTCTCAACACTTGTTTTTTCCTATTATTTTGTCACTTTCAAGTGTTGCAATTCTGTAGTAGTTTATTTACTATCTATATTTTTCAGGATATTTGAAAAAGATGGTGTAAAAGTGGTCATAGATGAAACATCATTAGAATTAATTAAAGGATCTACAATAGATTTCCACACAGAACTAATAAGATCCGCCTTCAGAGTTGTACAGAACCCAAATGCAGATCTTGGATGCTCATGTGGAGCCAGTTTTTCAATTAAAATAGATTAGTCAAGGGGGTTTGAATTGTAAGTAGTATCTAGTCCAAATGTATATTTACTTTTGTATATTGTTCCTGTTTGTAAAATATTAGCATAAATAGTAATTTTCTGTGATAGATATTTATGTTTTGCTTTGTTATTTATTAATACATAAATAAAACAAATTAAATACATGTTTAAATAAAACACTTCTCAAACCATAAGCAAAAATTATTTTTATTAAATTATTATATCTAATTTATTTTAATCCAATATACCTAATTTAATCCCTTTGTACAGGGTCAAGAGCACGTCAAGCTTGACATTTAAGATTTAAATTCAACTCTATGCCGCTTATGATAAGAACGCTCCAGAGTACAGAGTGTCGTGTCGAGCTCCTGACTGTACAATTATTTGTTGTAATATTGTAAACTTTAAAGTTTTTGTGTAACTAGGTAAAGTATAATTAAATTGTTTTTATGTTCGAAGATTGTATACAAATTTAGCAAATAAAAATTACCAAAAATATCTACTAGGTATAACCTTTCACATACTTATTTATTAAAACACACCATGGATCATTTTCACATTTCTTGGAGAAATAAACAAATGTGTTCAAAGATGAAAAGTTTAGATTTTTTTGTGATTAATTTTAAAACAAGAATATCAATTCTTTAAGGCACTCAGTAATATTATTATGACGCACATTTAAAAAAAACAACATTTTAAAATTTTAATGTCACTTCAGGCTAAAGTATAATATGATTATTTTTCTTAACTTTTGGTTACTTTGTTTCTTTTGCAAACAGATGATCCACCGGGTTGTAATTCGGTGTACAAGGGCGTTATTGGCCATGGGACATTCTCACGTTCCTCTACCTAGCAGATTGTCTTAGAATACAAATACATTCTAATGAAGCTGTGGCAGATTAAGGGCTGCCCACATATTATCGAATTTGGATGTTGGCAGTTTAGTCCCAGTATCCTTCTTGTCTGTAGTTGTAGTGGAATTGGTAGCAGATCTGAAATTAAATGTTAGCTTTATAATTTTACATTTAAAAAATGCTCAAATTCGTATAATAACCGGTATATTATCGATGTATACGTATATATGTTAATTCTTATATGATTTCCAATTATTGTCTAAAATAATTTATTTTCTCCGTGTTTATCTAACTCATGGCTCCAATAAGAATTTCACTAGACATCACTAGTTCGTAATAATATTGTAACAGAGAAAGAAAGTAAAAAACCGGACATTGGAATCAGTCTACAAATAACAATGATTAGCACTAATTTCGGTAACACATTTTCGCCAACTATGTTTCATACGTTTCCTTGTTTAAGTAATTTGCAGTTACAAATGCTTACTGCTCCAATTCCACATTGAAAGTGAATGCATCATTGATTTTCTTAACGTTATGCGGCGAGTAGCGATTGTAGAATCCCCAGATGCTGTTCATCAATTTGCTGTTATACTTCAGCGGAGACTCGATCACTGCATTAAAAGAAAGTTTATTATAAATATAATTATAATGTATACTTAACAATGTTATGAATTATTAGAAATTCCTAATTGTTTCGGTATACCTGACAGATTCAAGTTGTTAGGAATAAGCGAAGTAGTACGAAGGAAGCGTAATTACGTCATTTTTAAGGGCAGGTGCTTACCCACTTTTTTTACTTTGCCCTTTGGTTTTGCCTTTTGAAAACTAAAAAGCTGGACATTGAACAACTAAGCAGCCAGGTGACTTAATCTACATTGTTCGTTTTAATGCACCGCAGCGTCGCACCGCCGCGCCCCGCCTAGATGCAGCAATTTGAGGCGAGCCTAACTGATGCGTAAGTCAAACGAGCTGTATTACATCGCATCACCAAACAGCGGCAAATGCTCTTGACTGTATCCAAATTGCTTTCCAATTGCCTTCAAACTGCTATTTTGCAGTTTTGATGCTAAGAGAACTATAACTATATGTTATTATAAATATGTTGCTATAATTTACTTCTGGTTGCATTGTTATAGTTAACGCTTGTCATTGCTATCTCTAGCCAAGATTTGTTTACTAAAGAGTTTCGTGCGCACAAAACCGCAGAACTTACTAGAAGTGTTGAAAAATTTTCCCGAGTCATTGCGGCTGCCCTTGCTCGGATTGGACACCTTCATGTCGCGCTGAGTTTCACGGATACGACCCGCAGAAAATGCTGATGGTGGAATAGAAGCCATCGTCTGCACTTGGCAAGCTGACGAAAGTAAAAAAGTGCGGGATATTATGTAGTTAGTTCAACTGAAGTAAATTGTAGTGCATCTTGACATGTTATAACCCCATGCTGTGCACTACATGGCATACTGAGCTTTTTAAAAAATTACGTGCAATGTAATTGTGATTCCCTGTTTATGTTTAGATTCAGGATAATAATCTCAGTACAGAGTAGTAAAAAAAAACCGACCTCAATTACATCTAATTGCCAAGTTTAATTGAAAACGGTTACCGGAAAGTGCGCGAAACAGGATTCATCCCCTAGTCTGAGTCAGTCTTCTCTCACTCTTAGAGGTGGATATGTTCTTTAAATGGACCCAATACTGAGGTAACCTCTTTCCAAGAAAAAAGAATCAAAATCGGTTCACAGGTTATCGGATAACATACATACAAAAAAAAACATTAGAATTGAGAACCTCTTCCTTTTTTGAAGTCGGTTAAAAATAAGTCAAGTCTTACCCTCATCGTAAGGTTAAAGATGTACAAATATGGAAATTCGACATTCAGTTTAAGGGTACAGGTACTTGTAATAGTAATTCAAGATAAGTAATGGGCAGGGGAGGTACAGAATGATTTAAGAGGGTACTTGTGTTAAGAGATATGCTACACAAGCCATAGACAACAAACTAAATAGATACATAAACATAGAAACCTAAGTATTCGTATACCTTGATTAAGTGTTGGGAGAGTTCTGCGCATACTAAACGAATAACGAGGCTTTTAAGAAAAGATTTGGGGAATTTCCATTACCTAGATTTATAACGCATTACTCTATATATAAAAATCACTCAAATTGACTATAGATTAAATACCAAGAAGTTATACATAGAGAGATGACTATAATTTAATGCCCAATTAGGTGCAAAAAACAAAAATGCGTATTTAATACTAGAAACCCAGTCAAACTTACCTTCACACAGATTGAAGAAAATACTCCCTAATGTCAGGTTGTTGAGCGCTTCAATGTTGAGGCCTCTCTGGACCAGACCTCGGAAGAGGCCTTTAGCACTGCGTACTTGGAATGTGCGCAGACGCACCATGAAATCTTTTGGTAAGGAAAGCAGGATGAATTACAAGCAAAGGATCGCTTGAACGCAGGGAACACGAGTGTGACGAAACGCAAACGAGATGCCACTGTTCAAAATGGCTGCGAATCGAGAAGTTGACCCCTGGAGCAACCCAACGTTTTATCAGTGTCTCAGACGTAATGGCTTTATACACACGTCAAGATAACGTTGCTTCGAAGAATACTCATGTCGATAGTAACAAAAATTACTCGACCAACATTTCGTTGTTTAAATAGTTAACCATTTAGATTAATGCAAGTTCCTATGTTCGTTTAGACACGTAAATTGGCCAGCTTGCTAATTAGATAGCTTGTGAGATCAACATAGGTTTCGCATTATGTAACTGCACACTATGTTATTTACATATGCTCATGTGCCCAGTACGTAAAATAATAAGATGGCTGTTTACCGTCGTCGCCATTTTGCTGTATTTTTAAGTAAGTGTGATTTCTCCCAACTTCTAATCACTGTCAAGTCGTATCAAAGTCGTTCAAGAGCCATCAACGTTTTAAAACAATTTCTACATAGCGGCTTGCAAGATTAGTAGCTCAAACCGCTGATAGTTTTAGTTTTTCACAGCTGTATTCAGCATGTGTTGTTATGTAGTTTTATTTTAAATATCGAGCGCTCTACTTATTAAAATGAGCACGTGACTACATTTGAGATAGCGGCATAAGATTCGTCGGCTTTGTACGCAGGTATAGATACCTACGTTTCAGATTTTTTATATCGTCTTCCTGACGAGTAAGTAGTATTTTTAAAATAGGCTGTTATGTAAATTTATGTATTTACTTCAAATTAGACGCTTCTAGAAGCGCTGCAGTGGCACAGACGCGTCATTACTAATTTTCATACTAATATCTTGTGTGCAAAAGTGGTGTGTTTGTAGCGCTGCAGCTGAGCTTTTAAAAATTCTATGAACATTATAGTAGCGCGGCTGCGGCGCCACAGACTCGCTACTGCCGCGCTTCTACGTGGGGCGCACTATAACTTTCCGAAATGAATAAGAAAAAAATACTATAAATGGTCAGAAATGCATTTATTGTTTTTCAAAATATTCTCCGTTAGCTTTAATGCACTTTTTCATACGAATGAACCAATTTCGAAAACATCTCCGTGACAATCTTTGAAATTTTTTACACTATTCGACAGCCTCTTCAGGTGATGAAAATCGTTGACCGCGTAACTGGTTCTTAATTTTTGGAAATAAATAAAAGTCACAAGGTGTCAGGTCAACGTTGTTCACTTTCAAAAATTCATTTGTCTGTCTGGCCGTGTGAGAACTGGCATTATCATGGTGCAAGATGATACGGCGTTCACGATTATTTTTACGGCTATTTATCAATAACTTCCGGGTAACAAATGGTCGTGTACCAATCACTAGTTACAGTACAATGATTCTCCAAAGCAACAGTAGCCACGTGTCCAGTTTTATTAAAAAAAGAAGCAATCATCCATTTAGAGGCACTTTGCATGCGCGCCACTTTGGTTGGTGTCGGCTCATCTCGAAAGACCCATACGCTCGATTGCTGCTTTGTTTTGGGATCGTAACTATAAATCCATGTTTCGTCACCTGTTACTATGTCCCACACCAAATTTGAGGCCCCTTCGTTGAATCTGGTAAGCATGGCATTGCACCGAGTGACGCGATCCGTTTTTTGAGCCTCTGTCAAATTGTGTGGGATCCACCAGAGCATAGCTTTTCCACACCCAAATGTTTGTGTATTATTGATTGTGTTTGATTCATGCCTATGCCTAAAGATGCCCGAATCTCTTGGTATGTCACATGCCTGTCTGTTTTGATCATACGGCGCACAGCATCGATGTTTTTATTGTTCACAGCAGTGGTCGGGCGACTATCACGAAATTCGTCCCTTGATATTCACACGGCTGCGTTTGAATTCTGCAAACCAGCTATAAATAGTTGTCTTGCATGGTGCTTTATCGGCAAAAGCAATTTGAAGCCGAGCGAAACTCCACTGAGCTGTTAAAACTACACTTAAAGTCGTAGAAAATCATACTACGAAAATTTTCACGAGTTAAATCCATTGTGATGCAGACAACCAATTTCTAAAATGATGCCACAATGTAAAAACAAGTGATAGTCAGATGAAAGAAACTGTATACTACAGCCAAAGAGTTCCATTTTCAAATGTTGTAATTATTTTTAAATATTGTTTATGTAAGTGGCCAGTTCCGGAAATTTATGGTGCGCCCTATGTACAAGCGCCTGATTTGAAGACGCCTCGGTATTCTTGACTCTTGGTCTCAGATGCCTTGGTTATCTCGGTATTTTTGTTTTTTCGCACGCCCGACACGTTGATTTGTTTGAAAAACAAATATCTATTCGCGATTTAGATCCAACAAAATATTTGTTAAGTTCATTTTCAGTGTGCAGAAATCACGAAAACCGTAGAACTCGATTAAGTTACAAAAGTCAATAAGAATAACATCAGTAGAATTAGAAGCACCTACTTATATTAAATATTACAAAAAGTTATTTAAAGTGTAGCGTTAGCGTTTTTTATTGTATTTGACGCCCCGATGCCAAGAGCAAAACCTAATTTATCAGGCTTTACCAGAGTTTGTTATATTTTTCTATCTTTATCTATCTATCTATCTATTACTATCAACGGCAGTCCTTATATTTCCTTAAACTGGACAGCTTATTATGTTAAAGCACTGAATGTGAAGGCATGGTGGTCACAGATAAATTTTCCTTGTTGTTTACAATAGGTATACGTCTATATATCTTTATAGTAATAAAATATAGCATTATCTCTCGCATGTCGAAGAAGGTTCGTCATTTGAAAACGTGTAGAGTTCCCAATGAGCCAGCTTGACACGCCATTGCCTAAATCGAAATCCTCACTTTGCAGAAAACACGTGCCCGGCAATAGGACGTGTAGATAATGGGCTAATGGTAATGTGTTGATTTTCCGTAAAACAAATGACAAGTTTTTTGGGTAGGTTAGTTACCGCAGATATATGTCTGTGTTAGTTACCTATTCATTTATGACTCTATCACATGATGGAGTGGTCGGTCACGCAAGTCGGCCTTTACCTACTGTCCTAATCTATTTACTTTCTATAAATAATATGAATTTTAAAAAGACATAAACAGTGATAGCCTAACTGGGAGACAGCAGATGAAGGAGGTCTGAGTTGGATTCCTAACGATAACCAAACTAAACCATTGAATCTTGAAATCATGTGCAGCTTAGTATTAATTAGCATTGACGGCGAAGGTTTAGGTTTTTTAATTAGCAAACATAGAAAGTAAAGATTACAAAATTCTTCTAAGAAAGCCCTTTATCTGTCCAATGCCAGCGCAGAGTAGGTAACCTAATGTCCTCTCTATCTCTATTAAAAGCAAACTAAAGACGTAATAAATCGATAGGTACCTATGTATATCTTGCTTTCGATCAATACAAACCTAAAGGATGCTGTTTGTACAAAATATGGTACTTTTAACTGTATTTATGTTCCGTAATAAACATCGTGTGTTAAGCTGGAAAAGATAAGTTGTACATTGTCTCTATAGTGGTTCCCCCGATGTCTAACGATCCTGGTCAGCTTTGTGCCTTCTTCTGAAGCGGGTGATCTGCCCATCCATCTGTTTCTATCCAGCACGTCTCTTGCGACTGTGCAAAATTTAGAAGACGACTCTTGGTCGATCCATCTCGTTGGTGCATGACTGGTGTTTCCAACTACAATCAGTTTCTCCATATTTTCATCGCCTCTGCGCATCATGTGGCTGAAATATGAAAGAATACGTTGGTGGCGTGTGGTGCACAACCGAATCTTAAGGTGTGACAGGAGAGACGCATTGGTAATTTTAGCGGTCGAAGTTATTCTCAACATCCGTCTCCAACACCACGTTTCGAATGCTTCAATTCTTTGGTCAGAATTGTCCATGCCTCCACTCCATACAGGAAAATAGGAAACACCAAAACACGCATCGATAAAAGCTGTACATTATGACACTTAAATTGAGTAACACGCTAAAGTCTCATAATCTTAAGTAGGTAAACCTTTTTAACTGTAGTCTTTGTAACTTGATAAGTTCATTTTTAAAATAAACAGTTTAATTTTTTTTATCGGAACCAGTGCTTAACGTGGGTCTGTATAGGTATAGGTTTGATACAGTACTCGCATTTGACTAGCGCCCAGTTACACGAGAAGAAAGTTTTCGCGTGGCAGCCGCGCGGCGACCGCCCAGGTACCATGTACGGACAACGGCACATCAGACTACATTTATGTTCGAAAATCGCCTCCATTGCAACGGAACAAGATACGTCAATGAGTAGCTCTATGTGCTGGCGTGTGTACATTAATGGCGAATCTGAACTATATTTATTATGCAATATTTAAATTCTTCTCAATAAAATTATAGCGCAGTCGTCGCGCGAGTCGCCGCGTAGACCAAATACAAGCCAGGCTCATTAGGCTCATTTAAATTAAAATGCAAATCCTAAACAAATAGAGCGTATTTTGCCATGACAGTTAGACACACGCGGTCGCAACGCGGACTCCGCTCTTCGACCGCGCGGAGGCCGCCGCGGACTCTTCTCAGGGACCGCGCGGGGTGTGCGCGATGAAATTCGTGTCGAATAAATGCGCCCTAACGTTTCTGTAAAACGTTGCAAATATGTTAATATAAGACAAAACTGGGTGATTATTTTACCATACCCAAACTTGTTGATAAGTAACCATGGGAACTTTAAAGGAAAAATACAAAAAGTTTGACTTGTAAAAGTGTTGATGTTATAGGAACAATTTCCCACCGAATTGGCGATTGCTGCGTTATTCATCATATAACACTTATTGGAATAGTAAAAGTTTCGAACGAGGCCACGGAACTAATTTTATTGACGTCAAAAGAATACCCAAACATGAATTATTGAGCGTCAGTGTTCTAGTTCCTCGCCTGCATTTGAACTCTGCTGATCCTGTGAAATTGCGAGTTGTTGCGTCAGACGTGTAATTAAATAATTGTATTGTGTAAACAAGGCATACGCCAGGCAGTGAGTTATTTTCCATATGCATGGAAAGAAACACTTCAATTCAAACTTTTCTACTTCCACTACAAACAGAGGAAACACGGCAAAACATTGTAAACAACATGAGTAACAGACTGTATTGTGCATGCATGTAATTTAACAAATAAGCATATCTAGAAACGTGGATAACTTAATATATTTTTTATTTATTTCGGCTACTATCGCTATGTAGAGTTTCAAGTGTTGATTAGTCGCATAAACAAAACTCAGTTTAATAAAAAAACATTTTTAAATCGCAGTATTTTTATTTGTACGTACATATTTTACAACGTATAATCCTTAATGTCTACGCAAGGTTTCATCTCTGGATTAATTTCAATGTAAAACTAAAACTAATATTTACATTAAAATTCATTACAAAAATTACAAACGGAGTCTGATTATTGATTTTACGAATTCGGAAATGTATGTATAGAAATTATACAACAATAAATATTTATAATATATAATTCATGTGAGGTAGACAATTATGTTACTAACTTCATTAGCAAGTGAAAATGTGCCTACATATGTTATAAAGAAGCCCTTACAAGTTCTCTATTTTAAATTATAACACTTAAGTACCGCGGTGCTGCTGAGGTTTTAAATCATTTATATAACAAACAATTATTAATAAATGCTCTCTCGTATACTACAAATAAAACATCTTTTGCTCATAACATATTATTGTAAACAGGAAAAAAATATAGTGGCACGGTACATTTGTACGTCAAGGTTATTTGTGTTGTTAGTTGTAGTCTTTTCATAGGGTATTTTACACGACCGTCGGTTAAGCTTAATTACTATACTAATAATAAATAATGTAATAAATAACGGCGGTGAAAATTAACACTAGATGTTGCGAGAATACTGATAAGCTCAGCCAGCACCCATGATGAGAGATTACCTGTAAATAGAGAATGATATATAATATACCCAATATTGTAAAAGGTTACGAAGGTAAACAGTAAACAGAGTTTCTTACATCTGTTGTAGGGAAATGATCCGATAATAAAACAATAATCAAATTCTTTAAAATTATAGCTTGATTCCTCAAACAATTGTCCCGTTCAATTAAAAAAGACATTCAGTGAACGGATTTTTTTTTATTTTCTTTTGTTTGTTGGCACGAACAAAGATGGCCACCTAATTTATTTTCATGTAAAGCCCGTACTAACAGCAAGGTTGATGCGTTACAAACTCTGAGGTGCTTTTTGCATACAGGCAACGGCTTTTTTTTTAAAAAAAGCCAGCTACTAACTCCGCTTTCAAATAAAACTGTTTTGGACTGAGTTCACTTCAACTTTGCTGATAGTATCTCGTTATGATAATTTCTCAGGCTTTTAAGCTCTGAAGGAAATAGTTAAGAGTAATGTCCTATGGATTTGATATTTTACTCTCAACTCCAAAGTCGCTTTCAAGTTAAACGATTAAGGGACAAGTTGTTAAAATGGAATAGCTAGAACAACCCGTTTATTCTAGATACTTTTGACATTTTAACAATTTTAAACATTTTAAACACATTCCTCCGTCCAAATATACATAGCGAAGTACATACAATCTCTCACTGAAGCTACTTAAACGAATTCAAAATATTATTTATCTTTTATACAAAGTCACAACACATAATTTCTCACCTAGGTCAAATTTAATAAGTTCTGATAACAGGAGGCACAGTTTTGCATTCGTTTTGGTCCAAGGTATTGTCGATGACAGGTCTGTACGTCAATTTGGTGTTCCCCGTTTCCGCGTCTGTTTCCGCTAGTGTGTGCTTCCTCCAATGCTTCTCGAATGGCAGCTTCGTCTGCATAAGATCAATAAATTCATATAATAAATTTATTTAATAAAGATTGGTAGTAGGTCAATGAGTACAATAGACTTTGACTAAGATATTACGATTACACAAAAAATAGCCCCTAGTGTCCGCCATTTCAGATTTATAATAAGGTCATGTTCATAATGGTGACAGTACCAGCTAAGTTTAAAAATGTATATAAATTGCTTTGCTAATCCGCGAACCTAGTGAAGGTTTAAATCGTGCAAAATATAGCTGCACTTGTGTTAAATATTTTTTCATGCAGTTAATTTTGCCACCCTCCTCCAGGATAGAATAAAAAAAAAATAGTACAAACACAACTATAGACACAACACTAGCACCAAAAATATACTTGATACGTGACCGTCTCTTTACGAGACACCTCTGGAGTTGTTGATTATTTATTGTTAAGTTTAAGCAAATTCATTTACATCTATAATTTATAACATGGATTTCTACAAAGTAACGACTCTAAAAGTGAACGGATGAATTTATTAATTACAGATAATTAATTAATAAGTATGTATTACCAATATATGAACCCTCATTCGATGTATTATTACTGAAAACACATAATCGTCCTTCCAGTTGAAAACATTTTCCCTTTAATCTCCATTGCGCAAGACTAGCTAATTCGATCATTAAGAGTACCAGAAAATAATCTAAAAAAGAACATGTAATTTTTAAGTTTATTGAATGTCACGATATTTACTACCACGATATTCAATTTTTTTTTGTGAAATTACTCCACTGGTTTGTTATAATTATTATAACAAGAAAGATCTTACGAATTTTTCTGTTTATTGCAGATCTTTGCGACTTTTTGCCGTAGCGCCATTTGTGAGAAATTTATTTCTTCACTCAGAAAGGTATCGTTCTGTGGCTTAATTGGCAGAGCATCTGACCCGGATTGCCTGAGGGAGCTGGTTCGAATCCAGTCGGATCGAATGAATTTTCTTGGCGTTTCGATCTTTGTTACAATAATTAAAGAAGATGTACTTAGACGTTTTGCTAGTTATACTATATAACTGCTTATTGGTTAGATTCTGAGAGGACGGTCAGGGGGATTTTTGTAATAATCCGATTTGTCTATGTTAAATATAATATAATATAATGTAAGCCCGAATTCGAACCCACGACTCTCTGCGTGTGAGGAGGTAGGTCTGACTTAAGGTACCATAGCTTTTTACTAAATATTGCATTAATCTTACTAAATATTTGCAAATGTATGTCAATTACAAATTTGCATCATAGGTTCGCCACAAGAGGGATTCGAATCGTCAACCTCTCAATTGAGAAGCACTCGTTTTCCACCTATGGTACCACTGCAAAGTAATTTTCTTTTAGTAAAAGCCAAATAGGTATTGGAAACAAATACCAAAGAAAAAAATTACACTATCTCATATCGCGATTAGATTTTATCGATAATATTTTATGACAAAAACAACGATAATCCGATTTGTCTATGTTATACAACGGTTGAAAGGTTTAGTAGTCAATTCCGAAAAATTCACAGGTGTAAGCCTGAAAAATTCACAATTGACTTGCATTTTAAATAAATAAATAAGTGATAACATTTTATGACAATAAAAAAGAAAGTGAATATAAGAATAATACGACCATGCTCGATCTTAATGCGACAAAAATATTTGTTTACCCTTTGGCCTTCATTTAAAAATAGATTTCACATATATCGGTTTCGGCGTACATGAACAAATATACAATAACAGCTAAAGATAACCGGTTGCACCAAACATCATATGTAGTTACAAATTTTAAATAAAAACTGCTCCGATTTTTAGTAAAAAATGCGGTTTTTTTGTTGTTATTACATATAGTAACTTTGATAAGTAGGATATGAAAAATCAGAATGAATATTTTTTATATAAATTAGTCATTTATAGTGTTGATCTTTTAACGAATAAGAATTAGTTAAGTTAGTCTTTTAAAAAAGAACGAGGCATTCAATTCAGTTTTTCAATTAGCTCTTTTACCGAGCTGGTCCTGTGTCGACAATATCGTCGGTGGGCCAACGGTTTGCACTGTGGGCTCTGGAGGACTCGGGTTCGATTTCCACTTCGACCAATTCGGGAAATATTTTTTTCTAAATTGGTTCTGATCTCGGTACCCTGGTGTGAGGTCCGTTATTGTACAGGGAATTGCCTAGTTTAAAACCAGGTACTTGGTGTTTTTGTATGGCACTTTGTTATTATCCACTAACCTGTCCTTCCAAAGGTTTGGTATAGTCCAATTCATCACGTCTGGCCTTGAAGTCTTCACGGGCATGCGCGCCGCGTGATTCCTCCCTAGCGACAGCGCCCTCCACAATTTGCACAGAATTGATAAGTAGGTTCTGCAGTTCCAGTGTCTCTACGAGATCACTGTTCCATATCATTGAGCGATCTGACACTTTGATATCCTTGATTTGTTTGTAGATCTCGTGGATTTGACGTTGGCCTAGATAAATATAAATTGTATTAAACAGCGCTTTACACGTTCAATACGGTGTTCCTAACAGTTTTGGTAATGCAACGTCCTAAATGCACACGGTGTCTGTAACGAGCAGTCGTTTTTACATCCACCATTAAAAAAAAACTGAATAAAAATAAATAATTATAAAAATAAACAAAATAAAACCAAAATTGTCTGAGATGCGATGTTTACTTTAGCATTTACTAGGGTCAATTTTTTATTATATTGCATATTTTAAAAGTTGGATACCTTCAAGTAAATATTAGACAAGCTTTATATAAAAAAAAGTTAAATGTGTTATTCAATCGTATAATGACGGTTCAACTAATTTCGATGAATAACAACAATCTACGAACAAGATTGGCGTACTTTGAGCCAAGTTGAAGTGAAAGACGGATTATAAAGCTAGAGGGTAATTTGCAGGTTAGTTTTCTCTGCCTAATTCGGTGGCAATTTTTATTTATTTAAGTATTTGAGTATATTATTATGTATGTGTAATATTAAATAATATTTCAAGATACTACAAAAATATTTCAGATAGAAATATTTTCAAAAATTGACGCTACAGAGAAACTAAAAATTACCCTGGAAATGAAAATAAAAGTACCGACCTTCCTCGAGTGTGCTCTTCTGTCTGAAGACGGCGGCGTTCGCCTGCATGCACTTTTGCATGCGAAGGCGCAGGTCGGCCGTGGAGGTGGAGCCGTTCGCGAAACGGATCTTGTCGAGATTCGCTACACTCGCCTCGCCCGTAGACTATCAAAATAAAATACACAAATAAATACATTAAATATGAAACATACTAAGCATTTACACAAATTACGACTTATTGTGTGGTTTTAATGACGCTCGTTGTAGCTATTGTATATAGCATGTTACATGTGGAACTCCTTTTTCCAACCATTGCTAATAATGCAGGGAAGCATAGTCGTGGCAGAAGGAAAACCTCCTGGTTGAAGAATCTGAGACCTTAGCACACGATCACCCTTTCGTGCCGCAGCTTAAAAAATGACAATAGCCATGATGGTTGCCAAACTTCGTAGAGAAGCGGCACACTAAGAAGAAGAAACATGCACTTACATCCTTAAGCGGGGCCTGAGCATCACCAGGCTTGCTGGTCTCAGAAATGGTGATTCCACAGGCGCGTCCAAACACGACAATGTCGAGTAGAGAATTGGCTCCAAGCCGGTTGGCTCCATGAACTGACGCGCACGATGCCTCACCCGCCGCTAGCAGACCGGGTACAATTTGGTCGCGTCCGTTACTGTGGGTGATCACCTGCAATTTGAGACAGAGTATGTTTATAGATTTTAAGACCTTCACAGTTATACGCTATATGATTATCAATTATAGTAGCAGTCGAGCACCTTGTGAAAGAGTTCGTCCAGTGAAATACTGCCACCTTCCTATTTCTGTCGCTAAGCAGTAATGTAACCAATGATATTACACTTGTAAACAATAGATGCGCAATCTGCGCCTCCAAACGGTACCCACGGCACTGTTGCCTACAGGCAACAGTAACATCAGTCACCATCTTGAATTCGAGTGAGTACAACGTCACCGAGACGTGACAAAAAAGTATCAAAAACGGTGAAATGTGTAATTAAAATTTGCAATTCTCGGTTCGAAAATGATCACAAAACTACTGGGGTTACTTTCCACAGGTAAGTTTGCTTTTGTTTGTTTAGATTGTCGTAAATAAAAATAAAAATCAAATAAATTTATTTTAGACATCAGTGTTGCCAGTAAATCAATTTTTATTTGCCCATAATATTGGGAGTTAACCCTTTTGAAGTTACTTTTGACTTCGTGGTCAAAAGTGATTCTAATTCAAGTTTATTCGTCGTAACGTTTTAACGTAAAGTGTAACCGTAACACTATTAATACGTAATACTATTAAAAATGATATTTTGTTTGTTTCCCAAAATACCTAAAGATCGAACGCGCAGGGCGGAGTGGATAAAAATTATACGACTTTTACGAAAAGATACTTTGAGTAACAAAACACAAGGCAAATGTACAACAAGCTAATGATGCACAGTGGCGTTTAATAATTTGTAATAAACTATACTTAAATGTTTGTGTACCAAGGAATTAGTAATACCTATCCTTTTATAAATTTGTTTTCGTTAAATAGAAACAGAAACGTTGTCGGAAGACAGTATTTTTATGACCTTTATCCAAAAAATAAAAAATACTATAGTCCATTTCAATAGGGATGATTCCGGTGACGTTTGAAATTTGAAGTTTCTAGAGATGTAGTGATATAAATTCGCATGAAAAAGACGGAGAGGGAATCGATTTACAGAAAATAATTTAAGAACAACTAATGAACAAAATAATGGTGTAAATATCTATGGATAAATATTTCGTTTTACACATTAAGTAATTAGAGTACTTTATGTTGTGTCTATCCGTAAAAACTAAAAGTCAACAAAACAAAAAGTCAACAATAAAGCATAAAATCAACAGCAACGAAACGGAATTTGAACAATTACTCCAAAAAAATCACGCAAAGCTAAAAACAAAATATAACCTGCTAACAAGATGTGTAAATGCTTCGTATTGACGCGAGTTATACAAAAGCCGATTCGATTCTATGGGGTAAATCTCTATGGATATATAATCCGTTTTACGCATCAAGCAGTTGGGGTAATTTATTTTTATATTGATTGTTTAATTTTCTATCTACAGAATATACCACAATTTGTACTTCAAATGACATGTACAACAAATATTGTTTGATTTTCGACATTATAACATATTTACTATTTATTTTTGTAACCTGGTTGACAGATTATTATTATTATAGTATGCGTGCAATGTAAAAGTTAGAAGTGTCACAGAACTGGTCCCTATTGAAATGGACTATAGAAAAGCAATGAATTCCTTAGATTAGAAAGTCATCTTCATATTTACATTTCCAATTCCAAGCGTGGACCCTTAAGTTCATACATTTTCATGTATATTTCACTCACTCGTTCATTCCATTTCTTATTACTATCTATCTCCACTGTTTCTTTCCACCAGTGAGGCTACAAGAAATTAGGGAAAATTATTTCTAAACCGGTAACACTGGTTGTATCCCTTAATGCACTATGACTATTTCATTTTGACATAATGAGTTTGACATTAGAAAAACGAGAGAAAATTTTTTTTTTGACCGTTCAATCAATTTCAAAGCTAGTCTTTAAATTTGCAAAGTGGTCCCACATTTTAGACAACTGTTTGTAGGACATTGCGTCTCTAGTATTATTTATGCTCACTGAATGTTTATTTCTGTGTTCAAGTTTGAAGGATAAATGCTCCTGAGATCTTTGCGATTTAACGTTCTGAGTGGCACTACAACTGCTATGGGTAGGCGTGTTGCTTATCACCAGGTGCACGACTTGTTCGTTCAGCACTTAGTATCGTAATGAAAAAATAATAATCAGTATAGAGTACTAAAAAAACCGACCTTAAAAGTCATTCATCCCCTTGTATGTCACCGTTAGAGATGGAATATTTTCTTCAAATTTAAATGGGACTACAACTGAGGTACCCTCTTTTCAACAAAAAAAAAACAGTCGAATTGGGAACCTCCTCCGTTTTTTGAAGTCGGTTATAAGTAATAAAACTTGTTATAAGTTTGTTGCCACGGTACGGACTACTTTTTATTTTCACGCTTCATGGTCACGGGGTGTAGCAAATTAATAGATAAACTAAAGGTTCTTAAAAAAAGACACATTACGTTGTGAAAGAGTTGAAGCGTTCATCGCTTCTTTCACATCATCTTATAGGAGAGTCCATGAAGTTCAACTCCAAGCAGTTTACGTTAAGACAGTAAATAACTAAATTTAAATAAAAGGCTTAAATATAATATCTTCTATTTATCTTACCTCACCACGGAAATTGGTAGGAGTGCCACCCATATTGTAATGTACAGTGGGTAGCACAGGTATGGGCTCCTTGGTAACATCAACGCCGGCGAAGATCATCGCAGTCTCGGAGATACCGGGCAATCGCTGCTTTAGCTGGTCTAAGGGTAGATGATGCAGTTGAAGATGAACATGGTCCTTTTCAGGGCCACAGCCGCGACCTGAGAAATAGCCGAAAGACAATAAGCAACAGCACTACTTTCAAAGTCAAAGTCAAAGTCAAAGATTATTTATTCCATAGGTAAAATAAATTTACACTTGAAAACGTCACATTTAAGCTACATTTCTGCAGTATAAATAAGGTAAGATACAGACGAGCATCTCTCCACCACCATCTTTGACCATTGCTATGTCTAGTGTTATGAAAGCTATCGAAAAACAGCCTTTAGATCCAGCTTCAGCAAGTTCATGAGCGTTCATTAATGCTAATAAAAATGGAAGTAAATTAATTTGCTACTCCGCGAACCCAGTGAAGGTTAAATCGTGCAAAATAGCTGCGCATGTGTTGAATATTTTATCATATCATTAATGCGACAAAAATGTATATACCAAATACCCTGTTTTTTTTATTGATAACCTAAAAGTAGTTAAGAAAGGGTGGTGACCAGACTTGCAATTATCTCAAAGATTTTTACAGTCATTCCACAGTTCATATATTATAATGTTTACTTGTCTGATAGATTATAGAGAACTAATAGATTGTTTTGTTTTTCTGGTATTTTATTTACAAACTCTGCAAATGTTTGGAATGACACCAGTTATGTCGATCTAAAAAAACTTTCATACTTCAGCTAAAAAATAAGCCACAATAACAGTGTAATTCACGTAGTCAGTCAATTCACTTGATTTCATTATGGTAAGTGTTTAAATTTTTTTTGCTTTTTTAATAGATTTTTTTAAACCTATCCCAACTAAAAACCTAGTGCACGCCACTGCTTATAGCATAAAACGAAGATTGTAGGGTATTCTTACCTTCCATGATCTCGACAGTCATAGCTCTGGAGACAACGTCACGACTGGCCAAGTCCTTGGCGACAGGCGCGTATCGTTCCATAAAACGCTCGCCCTTCGCGTTCACTAGAAACCCACCCTCACCGCGGCAGCCTTCAGTAATCAAACAGCCTGCACCGTAGATACCTTTAAAAACAACAACATTTATGACCATCAACTTAGACATCCACCACATCTACGAATAGGCCATTTTAAAAATAAGAGAATTTGCCATGGTCACTGTCATTCGCAGGAGGGCTATTAGACTGCAATTTTATGTACTATGAGTTGAATTCTTGTCAGTCTCAAAATTTTAGTTTGCAAACGGCCATTGTTACGAGTTAAGTCTCTTGTTTTGTTGACCGTTTTGTGAAAACTTTTGTTTATAATAAAATTATGATCTAGCCCTCACACGCCATTGCTTGAAAACAACCTGCAAGCTGCAAAAACAACTGTTAATGTGGAAACGCAATCTTTGTTCAGCAAAGCTTGCGTTTCCACATTAAGAATTCTTGATAGTTCCAAAATACAAGACAAGGGACTTTATAAAATTAACCTCTGAAGTCCTGTAAGCTGGAAAAGTCGTAGATTCGTAGTTGATAAAATGGTGCATTTCCAACATTGACGTACCAACAAAATGATTTTACTAACAAAATTTCCAATAATAATTGTTTCCTGATAAATTGAAGTTTTAATCTTTGATTGAAGTGAACCTTAAATTTTTATTGAATTGATATTCAATTAGTTTTTGTGAAATTACTCCACTAGTTAGTTATAATTATTAATACAAAGATCGAACACACAGAAAAAATTCCTTCGATCCGGCCGGATTCGAACCGACGTCTCCCAGCAAACCGTGCCGGACGCTATGCCAACTAAGCCACGGAACGAACCAGCGGACTTAACAAATTTTTCTATGAACTTTGTATTTGGTTTTCAACTATTTTTGTAACTTCAATTTTTAAGTTAGGTGGTAATTGTAAGATTTGTTCTTGATCAGACCAAGCGGACTGAATGGCAAGCTCTCTGTTTTCATGACCTGTATTTTGTATTGCAGTTGGTTTAAGTTAAGAAATGGTCACGTAGATATTTTCCAGTAGATATGGAATATTACCGCCTATCACTTGACAAAACAGCTTGTTGTGAGGTAGCACAAATATCTCACCAGTAGGATGGAACTGTACAAACTCCATATCCTCATTCTGTAATCCAGCGCGCGCAGCCATGGCAGTACCGTCGCCTGTGCATGTATGTGCAGATGTGCAACTGAAATACGACCGGCCCGTGCCTCCGGTTGCAAGAATTGTGTTCTTCGCTTGGAACCTGTTTAAACACGTGATTTTTTATTATAAAAAAATAAGTGCGCGTTTGACCTCCATCTCACCTGATGGAAAGTGACGATGAGGTCGACGATGTAGTAGCGCACCTAAATAATGCCTTTTCACTCTCACCTTGAAAAGGCCCAATTTACAATAATAATACAATAATAATAATGCACGCACTCATAGCCCCGCACTATGGAAACCCTGTATCGCGGGTGCCATGGACACACATATAGACAACCACAAATTACACCCAAACTCACGAGAGAAATAAATGTAGGCCATACAAATATTTCTCCCGGCCCGGGAATCGAACCTGGGACCTCTGCGTGGCAGTCCGGGTCATATATCACGATATCACGGAGGCATGTGACATACCATGAGATTCGGGCATCTTTAGGCATACGCATGAGTTAAATACAATCAATACTACACAAACATGTGGGTGTGAAAAAGCTGTGCTCTCGATGGATCCCACACAATGTGACTGAGGGTCGTATTCCAGAACTAGTCAATGCTCAAGTCAGGATTTGAGCAGACTTGAGTATGATTTCAAGCACTGGAAGTACTACCCTAATGGCAAGGACTTGAGTATGATTTTCAGTGCTCACTGCAATGCTCAAGTCAGGACTTGAGCAGACTTGAGTATGATTTCAAGCACTGGAAATACGACCCTAGTGGCGAGGACTTGAGTATGATTTTCAGTGCTTTAAATGCATTTTTAAATGATTTTCAGAGCATTGAGTCTCTTCTCAATACAGAACTCTTTCTGGAATATGATCCTAAGACTCAAAAAACGGATCGCGTCACTTGGTGCAATGCCATGCTTACCAGATTCAACGAAGGGGCGGCAAATTTGGTGTGGGATATAGCAGGTGACGAAACATGGATTTATAGTTACGATCCCAAAAGAAAGCAGCAATCGAGCGTATGGGTCTTTCGAGATGAGCCGAAACCAACCGAAGTGGCGCGCGTGCAAAGTGCCTCTAAGCGCATGATTGCTTCTTTTTTTAATAAAACTGGACACGTGGCTACTGTTGTTTTGGAGAATCGTTGTACCGTGAATAGTGATTGGTACACGACCATTTATTTGCCGGAAGTTATTGACAAACTCCGTAAAAATAACTGTAAACGCCGTATCATCTTGCACCACGATAATGCCAGTTCTCACAGGGCCAGACAGACAAATGAAATTTTGAAGGTGAACAACGTTGACCTTATGAGCCATCCCGCGTACAGTCCCGACCTGGAACCTTGTCACTTTTATTTATTTCCAAAAGTCAAGAACCAGTTACGCGGTCAACGATTTTCATCACCTGAAGAGACTGTCGAAGAGTATGAAAAATATGTTTCTGAGATTGTCACGGAGGAGTGGCATAATGTTTTCAAAATTGGTTCATTCGTATGAAAAAGTGCATTAACGCTAACGGAGAATATTTTGAGAAACAATAAATTCATTTCTGACCATTTATAGTATTTTTTTCTTATTCATTCCGTAAGCTTATAGTGCGCCTCACGTAATACCATTGTTGTCAGTAAAAGTGACATTGATTTTTCCATAATGTTGGGAATTTAATTATCGAGTAAACGACGAACAAGTGTACAGTCGTCTAGAGTCACAAGTTCTTAAAACAGTTCAACTTTCGTCATTGTTTTTTTTAAAGTTATTTAGAATGGATGAAATGAATTTCTAAAGTTCCAAATACCTATAATATTATAGTGTCGAATATTGACTCTAATAACGACATAATGAAAGAAAAGTGCTTTTTATAAAAAAATGTAATTTAGAACCAGACCATGGTAACGTATAAATGCGTGTGGCTCGACAAATGAAATCTGACGGATATGACGGAAACGGATTTGAGTGTAGAACAATGGAATAACGCTTGACTGATAAATATTTGGCGTTTGACTATGAACCGACTTAAGCTTTGTTTCAGCATACTGCAGCAAAAATTTCTCACTTTCAAGACATGCAAAAATGCTAGCTGACACGTGTGACACGCAATTTTTCATAGAATTTGTTTGCTAAAATGTACCCTTGTTTTCATCAATAATAATAACTTACCTATGTAACGTGCCGTCTTCTAGATTAAGCGCAATGCATCCCTTGCAAACGCCGTCTTCCATGAGCAGATCGAGCGCGAAGTATTCGATAAAATATTCACAATCGTATCGTAAAGATTGGCCATACAAAGTGTGCAGGAGAGAATGACCCGTTCTGTAAAATAATATAGTAATATTACAGCCATACGGATGATTTTACAGCATGAGGTTCATCTAGAAATTGGTTATTCAGAGTGTAGTCGGTTTTAACACTGATAAAAATACACTTTAATTTGATTTGCCTAAACAGAAAAAATCAATTTACAATAAGTGATAACAAATGTAACGTCACCGAGTATATTAATATTTCACAGTTAAATGTTCTTTGATTTGTTATCGATCTTTGTATTGGATATATTAAATTCCAAACAGTTGCCAATGTACTGCTTATCTAAGAGCAGGTGATTTACAAGATCAGTTGCGACGTCTCGTGGACGTGTCTACTAATAGTTTAAATGTGTTTGCGAATATTCTGTTTTACCAATCTTTCCAGAAAGTAGATCGTGAGTACCAGTGGCGACGCGTGAAAATTGCCTTTAGTAAGGCCGGGGCAAAAAAAAGCACTTGCCTTAACAAGTGGCGCCTTGGCAATAATTAAACACAACACTTATTAGCACACAAGATACCAGTACACTTTATTTCACTGGTTAATTATATTGTACAGGTAAAATTAAGCACAAAGTGAAGTAAATTTATTTAAATATTTATAATATTTGATGATACGTGGAAGATTTTAGGCAAGCCGGTTGGAATTGAGATATATGGAAGCCTAGCCACTGGTGACTACTACTCGCTTATATACGTAAAATGTTATGCAATCTTTTAATTTTCTCGAAACCATAGTATTGGGTGTGAAGAAAGAATGATGTCGAGTTGCGGATGGCAGCCCTTTATACCATACCATAACCAGAGAACAAATAAGTAACGAGAACGGACACTCTCCGTCCCTCCCTAGCTTTAGATACCGCACCACGCCCCGCACATTGACGGTCACATTGACTGAACGAGAACTAGGCTGTCGGTGAGCCGTTTTTGCGCTAAGACGGTTTTGATATTTGAATATAGTTTTCATTTATTCATTACGAAATGTGTACATTCATATATAACATCATTTTACGTTACTATTTATAATGGTCGTGAGTTGTGCTGTGTACGTGTGTTTATAATCATCTAAACGGGATAAAGAGAGGAGTTTCTGTCGTTTTTTGAAAGATGAAACGAAGTAAGTAAAAAAAAACTTATGTCTGAGACACATTCAGATATTGTTTTCTTTAGTGCAAAGTATTCTATAATGCAGATTTATTATATCAATATAATAAGACGCCATGAATTCGTGACTAGACAAGGGTTCTCGAATTTTCAATTTGTATTGCTGATAAATATTACGTAGTGAATATATCTAATTATTAACTAGGTAACGATAAACTTCGACACGCAATTTCAAATACTTTGGTTACCTTATTTAAAGGTACCTGTCCAAAATATAACATTTTAAGTGCTTTTAATATATTTTTTAAATACATCTTCAATATTATTCTAGTTAGTGAATTCATGAAAAATATAATATTATATCGATATAAATACCTAATGAACATGTGTAATTATTAGGATTCTATAATAGAATTGCAGCCAACAGATTCGCGTTAGAATTTTCGCTATGTTGCCGCTCTGACCACGTAACGTAATAGTACGAGCAAGTGGTAACCCTGCCACTTCACGCACAGATTTGCGCGTGTGCAGATAGCGCCTTGCTGTATGTAGTAGCAGTAGGTAGGTAGGTAGGCCATAATTGGACATGAATATTTATTACCTGCTATACGATTTTATTGCATACTGTTAATCGATCATTAGATCATCTGAAGATTTCTTTAATTTGGGCTCTAAATTTATTATCGCTATGTTACTGAACCTTGCAAAAGACGTACCTGTCTGCGACAGCACAACATCTGTGCGCCTGGCCGCCCTTGCCGAATTTGAGCGACTGTCCACCGAATGCGCGCTGGTAGATTTTACCTTCGGGCGTGCGGGAGAACGGCATACCATAGTTGTCTAGCTCGATTACCGCGTGAGGCGCCTCGCGGGTCATGTAGTGGATTGCATCCTGACAAAAATCGGCAATTTTTTTAACACATAAATAGTTGTGGACTTAATTTATTTGATACTTTATCACTACAGGTTTTCTGAGAAGAATGTTAAAGCTATAGTTTACTTCGCTAGCCCAGTTGGATAGGGTACTTGCTACAAAAACGTGTAGATAAGAAACTGTAATAGGTGAACATAAAATACATGCACATACAATGGAAATATAACTAACTTATGCTTTGTAAATTCGAACTTGCATTGCATTATGGATTCTTTTTTTTTGATCGACAAACCTTGTTCGCACGTTCACAGGCTATCATTCAAAATTAATTTACTTCTAATATCTACTATACTTTTATTGTTATTTCCATATACTAAAACGCCTGAACAATAGGTAGTTTGCTTGTATTCTTTAAATAAAAGAATGAAGTAAATGTTACGTATCATAAGAACAAAATAATGGTTTATTTCCCTTTATGAATTTTATCGCATTAAATCAAAGTGATGCATCGAGTATATAACCAGAAAAAAGATCGTATTGGTAACAAACTAAAGATATTTTATTTTGATTGATAAATCTGAAGATAATTTATCTTTTGATAAAAAACAAGTACTTATTTTAAAGAAGTAATTTCTGCGCTGATTTAATGTTCAATCGCTGCATATTCAAGAACTGCATGTTTATGCCAAAGAAATATTCATGTTATCGTGCACATAACAAATTTAATTTTAATCTTCCATGGTTATTTGTGTTTACCTGCATAAACTGCACATTATCTGAGAAACTTATACTACATATTGCTGTTATTACAGTTAAAAAAAAACCAATTTATGCTCGTTAATGAATTGTCAACACATCCCCTAAAATTGGCCACGATAGTAGATACTAGGTTACAGTGTGAATATTTTCACATGCAAAATACATTAAACTTACTCACGGTAAGATGAACAATACTTTTTTGTTGCTCAGTAATACATAACTTTGCTCACTGTACGCATCGCACTCTATACGTATGATGCTAAATTTAAACTCGATTTATTCGAAATTTTTTTACAAAATTAATTTTACTTACGGATAGGTATACAAAATCTTTATTCTACTACTAGAAGAGTCTATGACAAAAATCCATGAATTCAAATAATAATCTAGGGTCGACAGACTTTTGCACGTAAATAAAAAAATGCTTCACTTTTAACAACCGACTTCGAAAAAGGAGGAGATTCTCTATTCGCCGGTTATATTTTGTACGTATGTTACGCGACTACTCTGACATTTGTGAACCGATTTCGACGATTCTTTTATTGTTGGAAAGAGGTACCTCAATAGTGGTCCTACCTATTTCTGCCGCCAAGCAGTAATGCCAACATTACGGTGTTCCGGTTTGGAAGAGTAAGGGGGCTGGTGAAATTACAGGCACATGGGACATGTCAACTTATGTCTCATGGTGACGGGCGTAGTGGCAGTGCCCCTCATATCTTTGTAATTTAAAGCTCTTAATGACACTGCAACTGTTATGGACAAGCGTGTAGCTTACCATCCATCAGACGCACGACTTGTTCGTCCCGTCACTTAATATTATAAAAAAAAGTGGATGGTATTTCATATTAATTATCTGAAATATACATAGGTACTGTAGAGACCGAAGACTTCTGTGTCTACAGCTTATGGCAGCTGGCCGCAATCTCGTTTATTTAACAGATGTAAATAAATTCAAATAACGTTTGTCTAAATGTTACTTGGTAAGTCAAATGTTATTTGAGTTTTAATTTACAGAATGAACTTGCCGTTGGCGCAACAAGATGTAGATACTGATATGCGATTTCTTACACTACCTTAGTATTAATTACTAAAAAGTCCTACCTCAAACAGCTTTGGTTTATTCCGGATAACAGTGAAAGTGTTGAGTACATCACTTTGGAAAAAATATATAGTAAAATTGAGGATATATACTGATTACTATACGGTGTGTAAACAGGATTTCTAAACATTTTCACGATAGATAAAAATACAAACTTAGCTGCAAATTTTACAAGAAAACAGCTTTATCATATCTATATCAATGATTTTTTTTTATATCAACTGAACTAAATTTATTTTTTTTTTATTTTTTTTATACCTGACAGGCAAATACTCGTAGAACACGCATACTATACGATATACATATTTCAAATGGTTTCAATTTCGTTTGTAAAAAAATAAATTCTGAAATAAAGCCAGTGGGACACTGAACACATTAATGCAGCTCAACTTAAGCAAAATGAACCGAGGTAGTATCGACTTTTAATTGTGCATAGAACATTACTCACACGTACTTTGTGTAACAATGAACGCTTGGATATTTGAGACAAGGCTGCTACCGTAGACCATACGATAGTTAGGTTTCACATGTTTAACATGTTTGAGGGCTTCTCTTGACATACTCTTACACGTTATATTATAAACGAATATAGCCATACCTGGTCTCCAAGCCAATCTGAACCTTTGACTGTGTCGTACATATGCCATAGCCAGTTGTCTTCTTCCATATTACCTGGAAAAACGTGATTTTATTTACAGGTGTTTATATTTACAACAGTAGATTTTTTATTTTTCATATTTCATAAATTATTTTTTGTTATTTTCAAACAATCATTACAGGATTAAACAATATAATTGTGTGGCAAATTCCACGCAAATGGTTGTAACACATTTTCTAGGAAAATGTGATTTTCGACCCATTATAAAACAATAAATTTATTATCTTAAATTTATTATATTTATATTATTATAAAATACTTTGTTTTCACGAATGTTTAATATCTTAAACATTCGTGGAAACAAAACATTTTTACAAAAAATATTTATTTTCTGATTTCACATGTTAAATGTCGTGTAATGTTATTTTACAAATAAAGGGTCGAAAATCACATCGTCTTCAAAAATGACTTACGTTAAGACTATTTACGTTGGAAGTATCGAGATATAAATATACCATTATCACTACAAGTAACTAATATTGAATTAAATATAAACTAACAATACGGGTCAAAAACATGACAGCTTTCGGAGTTTTCCTCTCCCAAAATAAAAAAAAATATCCTACAACTGTTGCTCTACATCAAAAACATTGCATATGAGTAGCACCGTTAGCACGATTATATAATCCATTATGTTAAGAATATTATGTACCTTTTACCATTATTGAATTTTCTCTTCTGACCTACAGAATAGAATACAGTAAGTTAATTTGCCAGAATACAGTAACTATACAGGTTTTCAGTAAAATAAGGTACATCGTACTCAGCCTGTAAGCAGATGTGCAAATATTAATAAGATGTCATGTTTAATCTCAACCGTTAATTGCAAATTAATGTAAATTAGTATTTATGAATACTCCATAGTCTCTGCCTACTCCAGTGGGAGACAGGCGTGATGATTTGTATGTGTTATTTGTATGTATGTTTTTATTTATCTCATGAGTTTGAGGGTAATTTGTGGTTGTCTATGTGCGTGACCATGGTACCCGCGATACAGGGTTTCCCTGGTATGGGTTTCCCAGGTCCGTGCGTTATTACTTTTATTAAGAGTCTATACTACCTCAGCTCGAATTCGAATTTTCCCGTAAATATGGTTCATTTTGCTTGGGTCGAGTGGCAGGAACACTGGCTTTATTTCAGAATTTATTATTTACAAACGAAATTAAAGCCATTTCAAAAATGTATATCTTATAGTATACGTGTTCTATTGAGTTCAGTTGATATTAAAAAAATCGTTGATGTATGTAAAGTACCTACTGAATACAGTGGTTTTCTTGTAAAATTTCGAGGTAATGTATTGTTTCCACAGAGAAAATTTTTAGGAATCGTGTTTTCACACTGTATCAGTGTATAGCCTCAATTTTACTATATATTTTTTTCCAAAGTGATTGATTCAACACTTCTACTGCTATGCGGAATCAACCAGCGCCATTTTAGGTAGTATTGAGTAGCATTTAAGAGTCTATCTCTTAATTTAGTAAATTATTAATTATAGTTATACACATGTTGATGCAGTTATTCTTATTTTTAATTACTTTATGGTAATGAGGTTGGTATAAAAGATTTATAATTTTAGCTTTAGTTTGCCTCTGAATGGTTTCACCGTGTGTTTCACAAATATACAGATCACTTTTAGGTACATGCATTCAAAGGCTAATATAATAAATGTTTAGCTTTTAAACAATGGTTTTTGTTGGTTTGTTTCCTAATTGTTCAAAAATAATTCCTGGCATGCCTAAAGGTTCATTTTATCCCTAGTATTTTAAGTGTCTCGCTGCGTACACTATCCATGAAAAGCTAAAAAAATTATGAAAAGAAGGAATACTCTACTGTATATAAAAATTTGTGTATTTTTCGTATACACAAATTTTTCATTAATCACACCCACCCAATAATGGCAAAGGATACAGCTTGAGCTTTGTTTATTTATTTCCGCCGTAGCAAAATTTTGAACGGTTGTTTGAATCAAATAAACAAGAAAGATGGTCACGGTTGACTCAGTCAACGAAGAAGTCAGTCAACCATGACCATGATACCTGTAAAGGGCCCGAAACGTTTTTTTGTTACAAAAAACAAATATACGCGATTTAAATTCGGAAAAATAGTTTCATTTCCTATGTGTAACAATCGCGAAAACCTAAGAACTCGATAAGATAATAAGAAATTATAAAAACAATAGCGAAATAGGGTCAGACATTTTAGTCAAACACAGATCTCAGAAATCACTAAAAACTTATGAATAAATATGTAAAACATCTCATTTACTGCTCAGAGAGTAGAAGAGATATTCATCTTTAAAGATCAGCCAAAAATATACAAAATGATTAACATGATATGGGGCTAAAAAAATTGCCTTCATTCAATGAGGAAAGAACATTACCTAAAGCTGCATTAATGCCCCCCTGCGCTGCAACAGTGTGAGACCGGGTTGGGAATAGTTTTGTTACAACAGCGGTTTTAAATCCTTCCTGAACCAATCCAAAGGCAGCTCTCAGGCCTGCACCACCTGCCCCAATGACTAGTGCATCATGTTTGTGATCTGTTAATGTGTAAGCTTTGGTCATATTTGTGTTTGATGACCCATCTTTTACTGGTGTTGCTCCTCCACCCGATAGGTGAAGATTTCTGTAGAGGTATGTAGCCTGCAAAATTTTATAATTATAAATAACAATTGATAAATCCAGTTCATGATTGTCATCCTCAACTCATACACTTTCCACTTCAAAGCAGGGTCTCCTCTAGGAGAGGGTTACTATAGCAATTTTATTAAAGCTATTGTAGTCATCACAATGTAAGAGGCCCAATTTGACAGCTAAGGAAGATGTTAGTATGTAACTTTGAATGCAATCAATGAAACAGTAATCAAACAATCAGGTTAATACTTATTGGGTTCCAGAAAAAACATTAATTTATTAATTTAGTGATACATATAATATGATACGACATGTTTCAAGTATTATTTTTACATGAATTTCAAAATAAAATGCAATTTTCAGTTAGTCTGAAATGTCTTAAAAATGGTTATGTCCTCAATATTTTTTTTAAAGTAATAGTGTTGTAACCAATTAACCACCGAATTTTACGAAGTGAATTAAATTTCACTTAAAAAAATATTGGCTTTTTGCATTGTCTTACAATTATATGGACGTCGGGTCCGCGCTAAAAAGTGTCCGAACTTTTAGGGCGTTAAAATCGTATACAGAGTGTCATTCACGCTTTAGTCTTTGTTTGTTCGACTGACAGCGAAGCAAGCAAAATTAGACAGTACTGCGATGACATTACAATTTAAATTCAATGTTTTAGCTTTTTCATATTCCTTTACATGTCACTACATTTAAATAGGTTGACTTGGGACATTTTTTTCGTGGTTTTTGTATTAGAGCCGTCGTCCATTTATTTGTAAGTCAATGGCTTTTTGGTTCTGATTTTGACAGAGATATTAACATTGATAATACAATTGAAAAACCAATTAATTATTTGTACATACATACAAGTGACACTAGCTTAATATCAGTTGAGCTAGTTTAACTATCAAGTTATGGCTCATCTTCCAATAAAAGTGAATAAAAATTTTAACTATGCAGTACTATTTTTGTTTTGCTTCACAATTTTGCTATTTAATTATATACAGGTTGTCCTTGTGAACTCTGTTAATCTACCTACACTACAATAATAACTACAGGTTGTCATTGTGATATTTACTTATTATTTATATTAAACTCCATATTGCTTAAATAAATGTTAATATTGTTCTATCCAGAACTAAAAACCAATATCTGGAAAAATAATTGAAATTATTGCAGACTCATAAAACTTCAAATCTTTATCTCTTGAGAATCATCTAATATGGTTATCAATATGTTAAGTTCACATCCCTATTTATGTTGCGATGACAAGTGTCAAAAGGTGCCACTTATTTTGTGATGACTATAATGTATTGACCCCGATGTTAAAGCCATTTTCTTGGTCTGTTTAATTTTTCAACACAATAGAAATGAATTTACTAAAAAGGCCCATAGTGCATGGAGCATAACTACTCTCATTCCTCTCAGGGCCTTACTGTCTTGGAAGTCAGTCTGATATTCAGAATGAGCAGAGAGAATCAAATTATATAGTTTTCTGTTTCAATTTATTAATTCAGAAACAGACTTAGTAAATGTATTGTATTTCATATGACATATATGTATGTACTTCAAATTGGCTTACAAGTGAGATAGTTATGGCGAGATCAAAAGGCTTCTTATCCAATACATAGTACATCATGTGAAGATTTATAGAACCTTTGAATAAACATTTAAATTTTCTATCATGATAAAATAAGTCATATAAAACTTAAATAGACAGGAAACATAGCCGTTTTCGTAAACATTTGCGTATATAAAATGCAGTTTTATTAATTTGTTCTCACTAAGTTAATAATAAAAAAGCATAATATATATGTACGAAACACAGTAGATTAAAATCATTCGAGTAAGCTGATCAAAACATTTTTTGGACAATATCGATTACATAACTAGTACGGAAAGAACTAAGTATGAACTTACTAATGATGCGGGGCTGCGAGAAACAGCGGCCTTCATTAATGTACTCATGATGAAACTCTCTGTCCGCACCTGGAGTACAATATAATAAATAAATTCTTCAAAAATTCACAACATTCACGCAATCACTGTTATGCTGTCAAATTAAGGGCAGGTGTGGGGGTGGCGGGTGCCAACTCGTTTCAAAGAAAGAGGTCTCTATCACCTTCAGCAAAATTTTTAGCTATGAAACGAACTGCTATTTAAGCATACTGCGCTCTAGACGTGCGCAAAACAGTGCCTCGAAAAGTAATGTGATATCACATTACATTTCCATAAAAGTGATATTATACTGTGATATCACTATTACCCACTTGAATTGAGAACCTCCTCCTTTTTTGAACTCGGTTAAAAACGCGACGCGTTTTAAAACAACCTATAAAACGCATTTCTAGAACTTAAAATTGCAATATAAACAAGATCTACTTACATATTACTCGAGAGAATCAAACAAAAATTACGAAATATTAAGAACCGTCTGGCAATCTACACTCACCCTGGTTAAATTTTACATTATAAATTACCACGTAAAAAAATTAGAATATTGTATTTAATCAAGCAATGATTAACAAATTATGCAATTTCATTTTAAATGTCTACTGTTTAATTCGTTTACACCAACTAGTAAGTTGTAAAATAACAAATGCACTCCAAAAATCAGACGTTAATTACAAGTTGTTACATAATCTCACTTTTACTAAATCTCTTCTACCTCTGCTCTCAGTTCAATTCGCAAAATTTTCAGTGATGGTATGTCAATACCTACGCAATTAACTGATACCACCTTCATGTTTTTATATCTTGGATTGATTGTATGAAAGCGTATCCATCTCCTAGATTACCAAGAAAAATCTAAATATTATATTTAACCAAGCACTGACTAACAAATTATGCAGTTTCTTATGGAGGGCACGGGGTGCCTCTGGTGATCCCCGAATTAGATTGATGGTTATGGGAGGGCACGGGGTGCCTCTGATGATCCCTGAATTAGATTGATTGTTATGGGAAGGCACGGGGTGCCTTTGATGATCCCTGAATTAGATTGATGGTCATGGGAGGGCACGGAGTGCCTCTGATGATCCCTGAATTAGATTGATGGTTATGGGAGGGCACGGGGTGCCTCTGATGATCCCTGAATATGAGTAAGTAAGGGGAGAAACTGCCTCATGTCCTAACACGAACTACAAAGGAAGCAGCCTACCGGGATGTGGAGAAGACCAGATGGTAAGACGTAGAAGAAGGACAGATGGAGAACAGCAGTAACAAGCGAAGCAGAATGTCGAATTCATAGAGTCTCATATTGGGAACATTGTAAGGTAAAATGAAAGAATGTAGGTTGTGTATTCACTTAAATGTCAGATAATAAAGGACTTAGGCTTTACCATTCGTGTTTGGAGTTCACGACACACCTGGCGAGAGCGCTGTTTAATACTACGGAGCGGTATACCAAGCCCCATCAAGTAGTACGTGAGAAATTTGCTAAGCGGGGCAATTAATATCGATATTTAGTCTAAGTTCATATCGAATGTATAATAAAAGAAGATACATTACGTAATAATTCCTATACGCATTATAATTGATAACTTAACTTGAATGATGGCGAGTGCGTGTGAGACTGAGATACTGTTGGATAATTTTCCGAGAGGTAACGGAGACGGGGCAGTCTGGGCCAAAATTTAATAAGTTGAGGTATGGTTTAAAAAAGGGTTATATTTTTCTATTTCAAAACGTAAAAAATCAGCCTTATGCTCAATCTGGAAAATGAGAAATCATAAGTTAATTGAGCCAACAAACAAAATAGAATATTAATTAATGCAAATGGATTTAAACAAATAAAAATAGAAAAATAGCGCCAAATGATAAATTCATTAAAAATAATTATATTTAATAGAGTTAATAGATTCAAAAGTTTTAAACAATAGATACATACATTATTTAACTAAAATAAAATCTTAAAATTTATTCTCATTTACTAATCGATTCATTAAAGTAGATTTGTTTCATCGGTATATTATTTTTAGTCTCTGCTGATTGGCTGACAGCAGTGGCCTGTGGGTGTTAGCAAGGACACCTGGCGAGAGCGCTACTTAAAAGTTGCTAGGTGGCGCTATTAATATCGATATTTAGTAGGTATATGTTCATATCGGGGACTAATTATATATGAATGTGTACTATAATGGCGATTAGAGACGGGAACAACTAATTAATTTTTTTAAACGTTTAAATGTTATAAGGTTTTAAGATAAGTACGAGTATTATTTTTGTTTATGAAATAACATTATTATATTAACATTTTGTTCATTGGCGTTTAAAAGCGTTCAAAAACATAAGTTGTTTAACTTTTGTAGTTGTTAAGCGTTGAAATGGAAAAAGCTGCTTATTTTTTTAACGTTAAAACGTACGCTTGAAAAAGCGCTTTTCACTTAAACGCTTTTTAGTTTGACGCTTAAAAAGTCGTTTAGAAAAACGTTTAAGCGCATAGACTGACCAGTGACCAACGCTTACGCTTAAAATGAAAAGCGTGCTTATACGCTTATTTTAAAAAGCAGACTTTTTAAAGTGCTTTTCGTTTAAACGCCCACCTCTAATTGCGATCCATAACGTAAAAATTCCTAAACGGATCATAATTGATAACTATAAATAAGTTGAATGATGGTGTGTGTGTGTGTGTGTGAGACTGAGATATACTGACTGTTGGGTAATTTTTCGAAAAAATTCAAATAGTGGTGGTTATGTTTTCGTCTAGAAATATCTTTTTAAGTTTTATCTATCGTGAATCATAAAATAAACTTGTATATCTAAAAGCCACCTACAAGAAAAATGAGTTTTAAAATGATCTCACAGCAGCGACAAATCCTCCAACAAGCACACCAACACCACCAACTCTTGTTAACTCCATCGTTTTCGTTCAGTCATTTCAACATACGTAGTATCTTCTCCTTAGTCTGCGCTTCAACTTTTGAGTTTTGACACTTGACAGGTGTCAACGTCAAATGTGGAAAACTAGAGGAAAATATTGGAAACATTTCCGGAAATCATTTTATTTTTCTGAAAAATTTGTATGATTTTTTTTTAATGGAAATTTTTCCATTTCCCAACACTGAGTGAGATTAACTGAGAACCCCGGAAAGATTTACATAAATAGTAATCTATAAATAATATATAAATAATAAATAAAGATCTCTCGTTTCGTAATTCGTACTGATTTTGTATAGTTTGAATGTTCTCCATTGTTTTAGTCATCGACCACGACTTTCTGCAATGGACTCGTTATTTTGAGTTTGACTGCCGGCTTATTGATTGGATATATGAACACCATGGAACGCTGTTTGAATAGGTCGACGAGCCTTAGATGACGAAACGATACTGTCAGTAATTCGTTAATGGCTTGGCTTGCACCACAATTTGTAAGTACTCACCTCCTATTTATTAACTAACCTGGCCTACAGGTTTTCTTACTAGGTCTTTCTTTACCGTTACTCTTACAAATGACGGATACTAAACATTTAAAAGGTTCCTAAAGATTGTTTACATTTAATTAAATATCTTAAACCAGCAATGATCATGATTTGTTGACATTAAAGCTTTTCTCATCATTCAGGTGAACAGTAGTGATCATGTTTGCCAAGCTTGCTGGTACTTGGTACAAAGACCACTTGTTGAAGCATCAAGGCAATATTGATGACCACAGTAGTGTTTGTTTCTGCTGTGAGCGTTCTCTGCATCACAAGTCAGCCATCTTCTTCACATGAACTCAAATTGTGAATTGAGAATTTATAATGTTATAAAAGAATGGATTATGCCTCGAACTGTAAGTTGAATCAGATTACATATTTTTATAATTATTTTTACTGTAAGCCAAATAGATTTTTTAAAATACTTAAATGATTATGTTTCATTGTTGCAGGTAGAAGTGGCACGTTGCATGTCATACTTGGGTGGCTACAGACCGAGCTGCTGTCCATATGGTCTCGGACTCATCAATTTCTTCACAAGGAAGCTATCCTGAACAAATACAGTCATAGACACAAGATCTTCCCACTGAGCCTCCAAATAAAAAAGTTAGAACCTAACAACCTGAACCTACTATTGTATTAACAGACTACATGAGAGCTATAGACACGGAAGTAGGTGCTTTATTGAAAGATACCAGACAACAGAGAGGTACAGAGTTAAATATTATATCGCTGAGAATAGTTGTCGTTGTGATTGACATTTGATTATTGAAGCATGGGATTTTTTAGACAGTCTGTGGTCTAATTATGTACCAGACTTATAGTTGTTTGGGTACAGTTGACGTACAGTCCGGTACACGGTAGAAATAAATAGTCCGAGTTTCGTGTGGTAGTATACGTGTAATGTCTGTCCACAATAACACAAAATACAGAAGGCACAAAAAGCAAATTAACACAAGCACTAGCACAGGCAATGGCGAGAAATACAGTCAGAAAAGATAGGTGAAGAGAATAGAATTTGAAACAGTATACATATAACAGCGTAAGCGCAAGGTACATAAGTAAAGTAAATTTTAGCGTAAGCTCCGCGTCGCATAGAAGGTAGGTCTCGACTAGCGCGCGGCGAGCTGATGGCCGGCCAGCGCTAGGACCGGTTGGTCCTACGTCACGCGAGAACAATAGAAACGAGTTCGAAGTGCTCGGTTCCAATACACAACGTGAACAGCTAATACGATACGGGAAAAGGTAAGTGGTAATTATAATACAAATTAGTTTGTGTATGAACGAAAATGTAAATAAGTATGTATGATGTATGTGTGTGTGTATGTATGTATGTACGAATACCCTACAGACTTACAGCAAAGCAAGCATATCCAGGATATGATATCCCTATAAGAAGTTCTACATCTTGGTTTAATGCATTTTGACAACATAGATTATATGGAGGACCAAGTCATAAATACAAATACATGGATTTGCATGAATAAAGTATTCTAACAAAGTTTCTCAGCTATTGGAAATATCAAGAGCATCCCTAGCTTTAGTAGCATATTTGATGAAGCTTGAACCACTTTCCACTTAACATCAGGTGGAGTGGAGTCATTTGCCTGTCATGTATAAAAAAAAAAAAAAAAAAAAAAAAAGAACTGGGGATTTAGAATATAGTTGAAATTAAATTTAAAAAAAGTTTTTCTGTTTAAACGTCACACCTTACCTGTAATCTTTTGAATTTCATAACATCCTCCAACTCTACAAATATATAAAAGTTATACCGTGTATAGATAGTTATGGTTGTTATATGTGATGAATTATTAAAAGTTGTGGAACCAAAGTAGTTTTTGCTTATGATGTTAGTAATATGTCCTGTGAGGTTATATTTTACAAAGATTGTAAAATACTAACAACCTCACAGGACTATATTATTAACAATTTGGTTGCATAACTTTATAATTCATCACACTTTACATTCATACAAAAATAAAAATTTTGTTATAGATCGCTCTAAACAGTAATAAAGTAACTCTGCAAAAAGCAGGACCGCGGGTAGGGGTCGTCTTTGAGGATACTTGCTTGTTTGAACTTACTACCAGATACAAATCTAAACAGTGTCAGATAGTACAGCCAAAACTTAAAAGTTTGTTTTTGGTAAGTCTGTTTTGTAAGAAGTCATGGAACGAAAGCTGTCTATAATGACAGTAGGTAATATAGTCCTATGTTGTCGTTACTATTTATAAAATAACCCTGTATATAAAAAAACAACAAATGCATTCCTAAATCAGCTGTCAATTTTATTATAAGTTGTTACATAACCTCACTTTTACTAAATCTCTTCTAATTGTGCTCTCAAATCGCCAAATTTCGTAGAATTTCCAGTGATGATATAACAAAACATAAGCTATGTATTGATATCACCTTCAACTTTTTACATCTTGACCCAAGATTGTATGAAAGCGTATCGATCTCCTTCTAGATTACCAAGTAAAAAAATCATAATATTGTAATATTGTATTTAATCAAGCATTGATTAACAAATTATGCAATTTCAGTTTAAATTGTCTACGGTTTATTTCAATTACACCATCTCGTAAGTTATTAATAAAAAAAAAATTACACCCAAATTATTTAATAAATAAATAAATAACGCATACACTCAACGTAACCCCGCACTAGGGAAACCCTGTGTCGCGGGTGCCATGGACACACACATAGACAACCACAAATTACACCCAAACTCACGAGAGAAATAATTGTAGGCCATACAACTATTTCTCCCGCCCGGGAATCGAACCTGGGACCTCTGCGTGGCAGTACGGCATGGTAACCGTTCGGCCACGAAGGCAGTTAAGTTGACATTGCATTACGCGTAATATTACTATCACACGAGATGTCTCATAAACAAACATCACTCCGTGATGTTACCGTTACAGCATCACTCGCATTACTTAGACTACAAACATCATTCTGTAATATCACCATCACTCATTACACTAAGCATCATGTATCATAAAAAGCACTCTGTAATATTAGCATCACGCGTACTGTTTCAGGTAATACATCTCGCGCGTATTGTTTCCGAGCGATGCGTCACGCGGGTAATGTATGATGCTAACATCACACGTGATGCTAGCTTTACATTGCATCACGCCGCATACTGTTTCGCGTAATGGGTGTTAGTAGCGACACCTGGCAGCAGCGCTACGTAACACTACGGCACGGTTAGCAATGTCCCATCAAGTACGTCAAGTACGTCGAAAATTTGCTGGGTGGCGCTATTAATATAGATATTTACTATATTTACTTCATATTCGGAAACGCCCAGAGCGCCCCGACATGGTTTATGCAATGGGTAATGTTATGAGTAATGCATATTTTTCCAAAGTGATGCGTGATATCACAGTACCCTGTCGCGTGATATCACCTTTGTAAAATGACTTACACATATCTACTGCGCTCTTTAATAAAGTCCTTTTTACTATTCGATATTTTTACCACACATGGGAGATCATTGGTGACAAAGTAGCGCAAAACTAAACTTCGAATGGTAATATGTAGTAGCGAAATCCGAACACAATTATTTTCGCGGGTCTACTACAAATTTAACATTCGACGAAAGCACATTCCGTTCATTAAGTAGTAATAACTTAGAGGATGGAAAAAAAAAGTAATAAGTATGTCCAATTTAAAAAATAAAACAGTAGATCTTAAGTTTTAACTAGACAAAAGCCAAGCTATAGGACAAAAAAAAAACGAGACAAAACTGACTGAACATTCTTTCAGCAAGGAAATTCATATATGCCTCCCAGAGTTTCAGGGCTTCCATTGCAAAAACATAAAAGTACGGGCTGAGACGTTAGCGTATTTGAACCTTTTGTCTCGAGTGTACGGAATAACTAAAAAATAATGAAGTTAGATCCGATGCAAACCGGTGCACGGCAAGGCAGACGATATTAACTTTATCAGCGTATATTTTATGTTATATTATATCAATTGGAATAACATATCAATTGCAATACTCTCGGACTGACCTAGAAGTACCGCAGAGCATTTCTCTCTGCGTCTCAGAGCATTAAAATTTATATCTTGTTTCAATTTATAGCATAATATAATAATAATAATATAATCATAGATTATGGGTACCTATATACTAAATCTATGAATATAATATAATATATAACGCACACACTCAAAATATAAAATATTCTGCATGCTTGTAGCATAAAATGCTCTGCTTTGCCCTCTGCCGGTTTGCCTTGGCTTTTAAACAGCAAGAAAGAAAACGAAGCACATCTATATCAGTATTTGTACATAGAGAACATTTAGACATGCTTGCTGTCCTTTTTTATCGTACACGAATCTCGCTAAGCTTGTCCAGTTGTCATAAAATAACAAAATTTGTTCAAGCGGAATGCACAATTTATTTTCGCAATTTTGCATTAATCTTTTTGACGAAATTTCGTGGATTACTAAGAAGAATAGTCGAATGAAGCATAATTTTGCTATATTAATGTGCAACAGAAATGGCTGATAATCCGAGCAGTGATGGTTTGTCCGAAGCCGATAGATTAAGAGGTATGATCAATATTTCTACCACTGACCAAAATAGTTTGGTGTTGAAGTATAATTCCTTGAATTATGTCTTTAATAATTAATCTTCCCTTTCCTCGTGCAAGTTTTCCGACCCTCGAAAGTGTAGGCTACCTTCACGGAACATTTTTTCGGGGATCATGTGCCGTTACTTCTTAATACTGTAACTGTTCTGTTGTAGGCGAGATAACCGCGAAGGTGGTGTATCGTGGAAATTACAACTCGCGTTATCCATGGCCCTATGTTTCTTATGTTACTGGTGACTTGTAGAATTATTAGAAATTACTTATTATAACTCAGGGTAGTAAGTAAACATACAAGGTACAGAATTTTAATATTATTTTCGTTATTTTCTCAGAAGATGAACTGGCTCAAGAACTAGAACATAGCGATTCAAATGAAGAGGACTCACAAGAAATATCTTTGGAAATTGAAGAAAAACTTCTCAAAGATGAACCTGAATGTTAGTATTTTCATAATAAAGTTTATGGATTCTTCTTATTGTGTTGATGACACAATGACCGCCTTCATGGTGAATGGATTTGCCAATCGGCGTAAGTTACTTACTGATTGTTTTCCAGGGTGCACCAGATGGACAGGAAAAAAATGGTACGTCATACAGGGAGACACCTGTCATGCACCCTATTATGGATAAGAAGGATTCTTTCATTGGGTTTTATGCTTTTTTTTTTATAATATCAAGTGACGGCACTACCAAGTTGTGCACCTGATGGTGAGCTACACACTTATCCATAACAGTTGCAGTGCCACTCAGATCTTTAAATCACTGACACTGCGCCCATCACCCTGAGACATAAGTTGACAAGACCCATGTGCCTGTAATTTCACCAGCACCCTTACCCTTCAAAACCGGAATGCAGTAATGCTAACATTGAAGCTTGGCGGCAGAAATAGATAAGGCTTGCGTTGGTCTAATAAGATCAATATTTGATAAACATTAACGGTTTTTTAATATTCAAATCACACTTTTTGATTCCATAGTTAAATAGTCAACAAAATATTTACATTTCATTTACTGAAGTTATCCATATACTTTATGGGCTACAATGGACTAGACATCACCATATACTAACCAGTGGATTGCACTTTGCAGATACTACCCTAACTAACTATGGTGAGAGCGCACTTTCAACAAATGTAGAAAGTGAAGTTATAGAAACATTATCTGATAGCTCTTTGAATGTCGAAACAGTCCATAAGGCTGATGAGCATGGCAACATATACAGTGAAAGTTCTGACAACTTTCTTAGCTCACAACCAGATACATTAACAGATATAACAGATCAATATGAACCATATATGAATGAATACACATTTGACACAACAAACACAAATGATACAGGACAGATAGAAACAGAAAATGTTGAAGCATCTGAAGCTGACATTGAAAATAAGGATATTAGTTCTGATGTGACAGAATTTCAACAAAACGAGTCAAATAATTATGAATCTCACATGACGGATGAAATGTTGATGAGTGAAAGAGAAAGAGAGAAAAAGAGTAAGAAGGAATTAGAGGAGGAAGAACGTGAAAAAATGCAGTAAGTATCAAAACAGGATGTAGTCTTTATAGTGTGTCTTTTTTATGTCCTTTGTGGCTCAAACAGCATTGGGCGCTGGATGGGGAGATCCTGGGTTCTACTCTTGGCAGGAACAATTTGGGAAATAAAGTTTTTTGAATTGGTCCTGGTCTGGGTAGTGCCTTGAAGTGATTTTCATTGCTCTAGTACTCTGGTACTAGTACAGGGAATTTCCTACTTTGATACCAGGTGGTTGGCATGGTTATCTGGCAAGACATTTCCAAATTTAAAAAAAAAAATTAATCCACTTACCAAAAGTTTCCCTACTCAAAACTCATTACCAGCCACCCATAACTTGCTTACTTTTGTCAATAGCAGCTTTAGTAGCAGTAGAGCTCCTTGTGAGTTCGTCCAAGGAGATATAGTGGCAGTACTTCCCTGGATGAACGCTTTCGCAAGCTCTTAGGTTAGAGCTCTACTGCTACTAAAATGTAGGTGGTACATAACAACCATCTTCCCTGTTGAAATTAAGATGTTTTTTAATTTCAATTACCTAACAGCATCCTGGGTGGATAACAGACTACTTTTGCAAGGACTGGGTAACATGAAAGTGGAAACTGAATTCTTAGTTATAGACCCTGACCTATTTCTTACAACTACTATAATTCAATGAGAATATTTTTTTCCAGAGTTCTAGTCTCAAACTTTACAGAAGAGCAATTAGACAGATACGAAATGTATCGCCGTGCGGCGTTTCCGAAGGCAGCAGTCAAACGATTAATGCAGACCATTACGGGGTGCTCTGTTGGCCAAAATGTTGTTATTGCCATGTCTGGTATTGCTAAAGTTTTTGTTGGAGAGGTTGTAGAGGAAGGTAAGCTGTACTTTTTCCCTTAACCAGAGGATGGGTTGATTAAAGTAACCGATGAGACTTTTCCTTCTCAGTACGTCAGTTACACACTAAAATGCAGATACCTTCCTTTTCTTGGTTAGGTTTATTATTAGTGTTTTAGAGAATATAAGAAAAAATGTTGTCACTTTTCACTTGTTTTGGTTTTCGCATAGTCACAACTAAGCTTCAGAACTATCCAAAACACGGAAAACGTCAATACAAAAGTGTCATTATTATTTGTGGTTTGCTGAATTTATTCTGCCAATGACTTTGATCTAATTCGTCATTATAAACGACTTATATTGCCAGGCCCCATTGACTTACAATTATATGGACGTCGGGTCCGCGCTAAAAAGTGTCCGCACTTGTAAGTTGTTGGAGCATAATAAATAAAGAGTCAGGCAGGGTTAAACTACACGATAGAGATATAGTTTTAGAATTAGACAGCAAACTTATAAAATCTAAAGATAAAGTAGCCCAAGCTTTTGAATCGTTCTTTTCGGAAATTGCTGTGAACACTACAAAATCATTAAATTCCTCCCCTTCACTTGCTATTGATCTCTAGAGACTAAAGGAAAATGTTAACGTTTGTGGCAGTTTATTTAATTTTCGTCATGTTAATCCACAAGACATCATAAAAGCTTTTAAGTCAATACATGTTAAAAAAACTGAAGATCTCTGGGGCATATCAACTAAAGTTATAGACTCAGTTATTAATCTCATTTCCCCACAGTTAGCTGTAGCTTTCAATAGGTGCGTTGACGAAGGTGTTTTTCCCGATTTAATGAAATACAGCAAGGTTATTCCCTTATTCAAAAGCGGTAGGAAAGTTGATCCTAGCAACTATAGGCCCATTTCAATTTTACCAGCTTTAAGTAAAATATTCGAAAAGGTTATGCTAACTCAATTACTGTCCTTTTTCGGTAGGAATCATATTTTTCATAGTGAACAATACGGGTTTACTAGTGGTAGATCGACTAGCGATGCGGGGGTAGCGTCACTAAAACACATCTTTGATGCTTGGGAAAGGTCCCAGAACGCTATTGGTGTTTTCTGTGACCTCTCAAAGGCATTTGATTGCGTTGATCATAATACTCTTATTAGGAAGCTGGAACATTACGGTGTAAATGGCAAGGCGTCGAAACTTGTCTCGTCATATCTCAACGGTAGAATTCAGAAAGAAGACATAAATGGAGTAACTTCTTTGGGTTCTCCAGTAAAAATGGGTGTTCCGCAGGGCTCAATACTTGGACCTTTCTTATTTCTGATTTATATTAATGATCTGCCATTCTTTGTTAAGGACCATTGCGAAATAGTGTTGTTTGCTGATGACACATCCTTGATTTTTAAAACAGACAGACATGACATTAACCGTGACCGTATTAATGATACCCTCTCTAAGGTAGTTTATTGGTTTAATGCTAATAATTTATTGCTTAATGCCAAGAAGACAAAATGTGTTAAATTTGAATTACCTAACGTAAAATCGACTAGTCCAAGCATAGAAATAAACGGAGAAAAGTTAGACCTTGTTAATAAAGCAGTCTTCTTGGGAGTGACCTTAGATAGTAAACTTCAGTGGTTTCCACATATATCGTCCCTGGCCAGCAGATTAAGCTCCGCTGCATACGCAGTCCGCAGAATACGTGAGCTTACCGATGTTAGTACTGCTAGACTAGTTTACTTTAGTTACTTCCATAGTATAATGTCCTACGGGATTCTCATGTGGGGTAAAGCGGCAGATATTCAAACCATATTTGTATTGCAAAAACGAGCGATTCGTTCTGTGTACCGTCTAGGCTCTCGGGTATCTCTCAGAGAAAAGTTTAAGGAGACTGGTATCATGACTGTGGCATCGCAGTACATTTACTCAAATATTTTATATGCCCGTAAAAATATACATAATTTCAATAAGAAAGAAGATATCCATAATATTAACCTTAGAGCTAAGTCCAAACTCATGGTACCACGATTTCGTTTAACCAAGGTAAACAACTCTTTTATGGGGAACTGTATACGTTTTTACAATAAGATTCCGGAGCATATATTAAGTTTATCATTTCCTAAGTTTAAAAACTACATTAAAAATATTTTGATCGAAAAATCATATTACAAAATTGAAGACTACGTGTTAGATAAAGATGTATGGAAAGACGACATGGCTCCAGAATCCACACAAATTTGATTCAAAGTGTATTCCATAGCATTTAAGTTTATTTGAAAAGAGCAATCCCTAGAGTTTCTTGCTCGTTCTTCTCAGGGAGGTCAGCGTAGTGAACGAGCAGTAGCTTAAATGTGACGTTTTCAAGTGTAAATTTATTTTACCTATGGAATAAATAATCTTTGACTTTGACTTTGACTTAAGGCGCTAAAATCGTCTACAGAGCGCCAAACTCCGCTTTAGTCTTCATTTGTTCGCCTGACAGCGCGATACTGCGATGACATTACAATTTAAATTTCGAATAGGTTGACTTGGGACATTTTTTTCGTGGTTTTTGTATTAGACCCGTCGTCCATTTATTTGTAAGTCAATGCCAGGCCCTCAAATCTGTTCCATATTTCACAGGAGATACGTAAGTTGTAATTGATGAGCTTATTGACCTCGTTAGCAGAATTCGTTGGCGAAATTAAATACTGATTTTCTGTACATGCTGTAGTGTCTAGTACTGGGCAAAAGCCTGCCGGATAAATCCTTGAAAATTCTGTACAATGATTAGATAGTTTAAGATCTCTTATTCTATTTTTTTTTAATTTTTCGGCAGCACTCGACGTATTGGACAAATCAGGAGAAGCAGGACCCCTTCAACCTAAACATTTGAGGGAAGCCTTAAGGAGACTCAGGGTAAGAGGTGCCATACCATCAAGAAAAGCCCACAGAAGTTTATTTAGGCTTTAGCATGATTTTGATTAAGGTATATTGGTAAGTATTATTTTAGATTATATATATTTTATAGAATTATAGCCTGAGTTGTGAGTGTATAGCAGACATAGAAACTAAAATACCACATTTCTAATACAAATTACATAATAGATATATATAAGAATTAACTAATTAAATTCAATTAAAAAAAACAACATAACTGTTTTTACTCCACTATTCTGATAGCATACAAATAAATTAAATTGTTGTCTTATGGAACTAGTATTTATGGGTGTTTTTCCTTTTATTTTATTCCCTAACAATGACGTAAAATGTTAATGTAATTTGGAAAGTCTCAAACTATAATTTTACCGAAAAGGTTTTGCAAATAAATATTAAGTTTTGGTTGATAATTATAGTGGAAAATGCATAAGATCTATCAACGGACAAATTCAGCTTATATAAATGTTGTTTTAAGAAGATTACTTTGATACCAGTTCTTTTACAATTTATGTCACAATTATGACCGGATTATTACCAAGTTAATTTAGTTAATTCAGGGTGTATTTTATACACCTATGAAGATAACATGGCGTGTGCAGCTTAGTTGCAATCTTCCTGAAATATTATAAGTTATTACAATATTACAGTAATGCTTTTCTTTTCTGCACAATTCTGTGTATAAAATATAGCCCTATTGTTTACGTGTAGTCAGAATGAAATAGTTATGTTTGATAATTTTTAATATTATACTGATTGTCACAAAGTTTGTTCATTTATTTCACTAGTCCTAATAGTGGTCAATACATCAAGCCCTAATATACACAATAAGTACATTAATAAATTTACGAAGATTATACATTACCTACCTAATAAATTGACAAGTTGCAATTTTTTTATAATGCTTTTTGCAACGTGAGCTCAGTCCAGGGCCCATAAGAAGTTGTTTTGTTGTGATTTATTTGGCATGTTAGGCTCGCCCGCCCTGCGTTACGCTGCCTTCATCATTCCGATTTCTTCTTCCTTTAGTCCCACATGCCGCGCCTCCTCAAACGACTGTTACTTAGAGGTTTGTACACAGTTTGTGCAAGTGTCTGTTTTCTGACAGTGTTGTGACATTCTGTCCTTATCTTTTTTTGTGCCTTTAGTCAAGCTACGTACTGAAAATCCCAACTGATCAAATAGGACCAGTTGGGATTTTCGGATAATTCATGGATATAATCCGTAACGTCGCACCACCACCCACATCACTTGCAATCCGTAATGACGTCGTTCAGTCTTAATATGAAATTGATTTAGATAATAGTTCTCTATAAATGGTTTAGGGTTTCTCGTTCTATACTATCCGTCGTTGAGTGAGCACGTATCATTTTTGCCATTAAATTATAAAACTACCTACCACAATGAAAAAGTGTAATATATATACCAAAAGTATCACCAAAAAAGCTCCTGGACTAGTGTGCAGCAGGTGTGATGTTGCAGTGCATGTAACTGCGCGCATCGCATTCGTTGGAATGGATATGCCAGGAGTGTCATGAAGCCTCACCACGACGTTGTTCCTTCATAGCACCAGACGATAATGAGGAGGAGGAGAATGAAATTGTTGTAGATAGGCAGACGGGACCTCAAATAGATGTTAAGAAATTATTAGAAGACATCAACAGGGAGGTGAACAAAATTGTTATGCGTGAATTACAGGCCGTAAGTAATTCTGCCCAATACTGTAGCGATAAAGTGGATGAGTTTTCAGAGATCATAGATGGTCTCACTGAGAAATTAAAAGAAATGGAAAAGAAAAACTTAACAATAAAAAATGAAAACACCTATCTTCGTACTCAATTTGGAGCACTAGAGCAGCGGATGCAACAACTGAAACAAAATAGGCTGGCAAAATACATTGAAGTTGTAAGTATACCGGCTGTAGAAAACGAAAGTACTGAAGAAATTGTTAAAATAAGTAAGTACACATCTAAAAAGAAATTACAGTGAGATAAAGTATTGTAAGCGCCTACCGGCAAAAAAGGGTTATCGGGACCTATTCTTATTAAAATTTCTAACGAAAATGCAAAAAAACTGTGGATTACAAATAGACGCAATATTCCTATCACTGTCTCAACCGTTATACCTGAGGCCGAAGAAAAAATGGCGGCTCAATCCGTGTACGTTAGAGATGCACTAACTCCGTTTAACAAACAACTGCTTAGACAAGCTAAGGAACAATTAAAGAACACAAATTTATTTAAATTCGTATGGTTTAAGGACGGACATGTTCTAGCCAGAAAGGCAGAAAAAGAAAAAGTTCACATCATTAGAAGTGAAAAGGATATTCAAGATCTTACTCAGAGGTAATCTACGAATCACTTTTTAACACCTAAAGTCAGTAATAACTAATAAAATCAATGGATTCTGATACTAATAGTAATATAAAAGAATTATTTAACTGTATAGATTTAAATCATTATTTCTCATCAATTCAATATACCACAAACACATTCACTCTCATACATGTCAACATACAGTCAATAACTAGAAATTTTAGTAGATTAGAAAATTATATTGCGCATTCTATAAAACAAATTGATGGAATTGTGCTAATCGAGGTTAACATCCATGACACAATCAGTTCTTTGTATAAATGGGTGGGGTAAACAATGCACACGGAGCTTAGGAAAAAGCAAAAAGGTGGTGGATTAATAATGTACCTTATAAATAAACACAAATTTTATCCTAAAAAACAATTACCTTAAATTTTGAATGTCTAACCGGAAGACTTATAACTAACACAAATCACTCCATCTACGTGTGCGCTGTATATAGACCGCCAAGAACAAATCATTATCATCATTAATGAGCTAAGCCACTCACTAAACACATGCAATAATAATGACCTTATACTTCTGGGGGATATGAACATAGATTTACGAAGCATCAACTCTGTAACTAAATCATACGTCAACATGCTACACGGCCGGGGTCTTGTGAGCGTGATATCAGATTACACTAGAGTTGTTACAATAAAAAGTAAATTGACTCAAAAAGATATGTTAACAAAATCATATTTTCATGAGATCCCGTATACAAGATGTTTACTCGGCCGTGCTATGCACTGTACTGGCGGACCACAGAATGACAGTAGTGTCGCCTATTCGTACATCGCAGTCAAGGTCTATTCCCATTTACGCTAATAAATATAATAAAAAAATATTGAAAGCGGAATTGTCTAAAATTGATTGGAATAAAACAAATAACATGATCTGCCCTAATAAAATATACGAATTCATAAATAGAAATATAAATGAATGTCACAAAAAAGCTGAATATAGTTACAAAGTCAGCACATCAAAGCGCAGCAGGGAGTCATGGATTTCGAAAACAATACAGCAAGAATGCTCGCGAACAGACGAACTTTTTCATAAATGGATAAAAGAACCTAAAAATATGATTAATAGAGTAAATTACAAAAAGCAACGGAATAAAACTCATAAATTAATTGAAAATAACAGAAACAAATATTATAATAAAGAAATTTATAGGTTAAAAGGTAATCTACAAAAAATGTGGAATTTGTTAAATCGTATTTCAGGTAAAATTTCGAATTCTATTGACAATATAATCTTAAAAGCATTTGGTACTGAAGAAAAAGTAATAGCTAGCAAATTAGCCTATGAATTCCAGAACAATGTGAGAGATATATTACCAAACTGTAATAAAAATCTTTTAAACGAAACTCAATTTAGAAAATCTCAAAATCTATCTTTACTATGTAGACAAGCTACTGCAGATAAAATATATAAAATCATAGGAAATTTGAACACCAAAAAGAGTCCAGGTATAGATGGGTTGCGCTTTAGATATTAAATTGACTGCGGAAAAAATCTGCGTAGCCATAGCAAACCTTATAAATGTCAGCTTGAAATCGGGTATATATCCGGATCAACTCAAAATAGGCATGATTAGACCTATACACAAAAGCGGTTCCCATAACGACTATTCTAAATACCGTCCTATAACTATGTTACCAACTATCGATAAGGTAATTGAGAAATATTTCAGCGAACAAATCTATAATTTCTATAGTGAGAATAATATACTGTCTGGAACACAATATGGATTTCAACCAAAAAAGAGTACCACACTTTTATTATCGAGATTCACAGATGATATAAAGGATCACTTGAATGCTAGGAAACATGTTCTGTTGGTGTTTATTGATTATAGTAAAGCGTTCGATACCTTGCGACATGACACTTTACTAAATAAATTAAGCGACACCCGTGTGCGTGGTCCTTTACTAGATTGGTGTAAAAGTTACCTTAATAACCGAACTTACAGGGTTAAAATGGCAGTCATATAGTGATAAAGTTGAAATCACTGAAGGCACAGCGCAAGTGTCGCTACTCGGTCCACTTCACTACTTAGCCTATGTAAATGATATTAATAATGTCATAAACATGTCAGGTTTATCAATATGCCGATGACACGTGCCTCATCTCCGCTCATAAACACTTTGAGACTGCAAGGAGTCGACTACAAGAAGATCTCAATCGAGTGTGCCAGTGGTCACATGATGCCGGTCTAGTACTCAATACCGAAAAAACTAAAATTATGCATGTGCACTCTAGTCATAACCTGAGCTCGGATTCAACTGACGTCATAGCGCATACTCACGAATGCTTGCATAGAATAGCTAAATGCAGATGTCCGCCATTAGAGAAAGTGAATCAACAGACTTATCTTGGTATCATTATTGATAATATATTTAAATGGGATAAGCATATAGAAAAAGTTTGTGACAATGATATCTATGGATCTCACACACACACCTTTTGTATTGCCACTTACGCATACGGAATCGTTCGTCAAACTAACCGGTCTTTTACTTGCCCCGATATATCTCACTGGCGACGAGATTCGAAACTACCTACCTGTGTGGAAAAAATAAAAGTGCATTATGTCTTTTTTGGGGAATTTGCCTGTTTTTGGTCATAAAACCAGTGAATGGGCTATTTTTAAAATCAGATTAACACAGTTTATTCTTGTAAATAGTGTAAAGGAAAATAAAAGTGCTATATTAATTACACACTTGTCGGACGAATCGTACCGGTTGGTTCGTAATTTGGGTTACCCCAAGAAAATTGGCGATCTGAAATATGACGAGTTGATTTTATTACTGGACACGCACTTCAAGCCGAAAGAATGTTCATTTGCTGACATGGCGAATTTCCATGGGGCAACAAGGAGTTCAGGCGAAAGTCTAGGAGACTGGGCGGCGCGACTAAGAGGGTTGGCAAGCTATTGCGACTTCGGCACCGCTCTGGAATCGAACCTGAGGGATCGATTCGTCCTCGGCCTGGGTTCAGGTCCCGAACGCGACAAATTGTTCGAGCAAAAACCGTCAACGTTGACCTTTGCTCGGGCTTTGGAATTAGCAGAACAAGCGGCTTGTGCTAGAGAAGCGAAAGCAGTTGTGGTAAAGGAAGAACAAATTTTCCGAGCGCATTTTGGAAGCGGTTTCCGTCGGGCTTCGGC